GCACCACTCCCGGCCTGAAAAAAATGCAAAACGGATCGGATCACTTCCAGACAGTCGCGCATTATAGACAGATGGAAAGATAGACAGATGGACCAGTTAACATGGACCAACAATCTCACCAGTGTTGAAGGATAACCACGGTTGCCTTTTTTGCAATACATGCGTTCCTGTCTTCCGTCTTTGAATTATTGCAAGTGCGAACTGAGCAAAACAAAATCCTTACTGTACGGGAGAAACCGTACTACCATTCAGCCCCGTAACATTCTTTCCATAGGGGAAACTTTGGTCGCTCTGCGGGACGGGATAAAATTATCCGATCGGAATAAAATTTTGCGCACATCCTTGTGTCATAGTATCGACAAGATTTCCGACCCGGCCCGACGAATCCGACAAACTTTTCCAAAATGGACCACCCTAGTGTGTACATGTATATATGTAAATACAGTATGGATGTGAATATACTGTATATGCATGTGTATGTACTGTAGATCCATCCATTCATTTACAACACCGCTGATCCTGAACGGGGTCATAGGTCGGTGCTGGAGCCTATGCCAGCTGACTTCGGGTGGAAGACGGACTGCGCCCTGAACTGGTCGGCAGTCAGTCGCGGGGCACATATAAAGACAAACAACTATACACACCCACATTCATGCCGTCACTGAGTGGAAACCGATCCCACGCTGCCCATACACAAGTCAGGCGAGTGTACCACTACACTACCAGTGACTTGTACTGTATTTTGGCGTATATACAGGTAAATAACAAAAGACTAATACAAAAAGATGAGGTAGATAAATAACTGTTCATATTTTATGGAGATGGGGCAATATTAAATGAATTGTACTTCTTTCAGACATGTAAGTTAAACTACTGTTCAGTTTTCTTGTCTATGATTGCCCTGGTCATCCATTTTGTACTATTATTCTGTTTTAGAAAAAACAAACACACATTGTTAGGGTGTTCTTGATTCCAATTTGCATTATGATCTCTTATCAAAAAGTCTTCTCAAAATTATTGACTTCGATGTGAATTTTAACAACCACCATTTCACAACCGCAATTTCCAAATCCACCTATTAACAAAAACATAGCTCGGAATTCTCTGTCTCAACTAGACAGAGAACAACATCGATCCATCCATCCATTTCCTGATCCAATTATCCTCACAAGGGTCACAGGGCTTGCTGGAGCCTATCCCAACTGTCTTCGGGCAGTAGGCGGGGGACACCCTGAACCGGTTGCCAGCCAATCGCAGGGCACACAGAGACAAACAACCAACCTAAGGACAATTTGGAGTGTTGCATTAACATGCCACGCGTGTTTTTAGAATGTGGGAGGAAACCGGAGTATCCGGAAAAAAAACATTCAGACACAGGGAGAACTTGCAAACTCCACCCAGGGAGGTCAGAACCAGAATCGAACCCTACACCTCTGCACCGTGAGGCCGACGCGCTAACCAGTCTGCCATGCTGTTGGTCTATAAATCTCAAAATGAATGTTCTTATATCAAAATACATGCAAGATGTACTAGTACTCTACGAATCAGCCAGACCCTTCAGGTCATCTGGCACAGGTGTCTTGTGTGTTCCCAGAACCAGAACCCAAAAAAGTGAGGCAGCATTTTCGGTATTATGCTCCTCCCCTCTGGAACAAACCCCTCTGCTCACACTGTCAGTTCATTTAAATTAGGGCTCGAAACGTTATTTTTTGACTGCAGCATTCTCATGAACAATCTTGTTTCTTTTTCTTTTTTGTTCATGTTAGCGACCGATCTGGCTGTTGCTCATCATGGCACACGTGTGCGTGTGTATGCGTGTGTGCGGGAACGGGACAATTGCGGGTTGGTTGGCTCATTGAAAAGTGGATCTTCGGTCAAAAAATGTTGGGCACCCCTGACATATAGTATCAATATGGAATACCTCACACAGTCTTGTGCTTCTGAATTGTAGATTTCACCTGAAAATCCTGAAATGAATCACGCGTTGAAAATATACATGCTAAAAAAAGAGAGCAGTGTGTGCACATGCGTGTGTGAGTGTATGTGTGTTTATCTACCTCGGCTGTTGGGCGTCAATGTTGGACTCTGGAGGCCCAGGCTTGGGCTGTTGCTGTGGTTATTATGTTTACTGTGGGTGTGGCCATTGTCCCAGGAGTCATTTCCTGTTCTCTGAGGGCCAGGGGGTGGGGTTTCTGGGGGGAGTAAGGGAGGGGGGGCAGGTAGTGGGATGTCAGGTGCACTCTTTGTCCATTCTCTCTCTTGAGTCCCTTCCTTGTCTCGATCTCCACCCCGCTCCCTGCTCCTCTCCTTCCTCGGTTTCATGAGTTTGACGAAAGCCATGGCGCTAGACCAATGACTCCTCCTGACAACGCACAGAATACTTTTAATCAGAACCTTCCAGCTATACATTTTCTCCAACCACGGGAGCATCTGGAACTTCTCCCAGCTGACTTTGGAAGGTATAACCTGAACTGGTTCCCAGTTAATCACAAGGCACACGCTGGAAACAATTCAAACACAACAAATCATTGTCAAAATATTTTGGATTGACATTTCATATCCTACTTTACACATTGTTGTTTGTTTTAGAGAGAGAGAGAAAGAAAGAGAGATATTACTGAGACATCTCTTATGCTGCCTTCAGGTAGTTCAAATATACCCAGATACATATTTGCACATAGTATATCCCCCCCCCACCAAAAATTATATATACTATACAATTATATATTGGCCCGAATATAAGACGGCCCTGATTATAAGACGACCCCCTCTTTTTCAAGACTCAAGTTTGAAAAAATACTTTTTGAACACCAAATTAATTTTTATAAAGAAAATAATTACAGTACATCTGAAACTAATGATTATAACAAGATATTTGAGAGAAAAAGCATGTTATTTTGCCTCATTCAAATCTTAATATCTGAACATTTAAATATGTAAACTAAAGTGCAATCACATTCGTAAATGAATGGCTTCTGGTTTTTGAAATGTAAATTACATCATAACTTCTCCTCAGCTGCCGGTTAACCTTGCCGATCTTCGACCCACTTTTCTTTTGTTGCTACGTTTCTCCATTTTCTGTTATCTCTTCTATTATTTTCTTCTTTTTTCTTTCTTACCACTATGTTTTATTTTTCTTGTTCGTGCTACCGCTATTTTTATTTTTATTCTTCGTGACAGGTTCGCTTTGGCCTGGATATATAGACACACACACACATACATACATATACATATATATATATATATATATATATATATATATATCAAAGAGAGAGAGAAAACCCTATATATACACAGTACATACAACCCACATCCTGTTGAGTCCCCTCCAAAGGTATTGGACTGACAGGTCACTTCCTTTGCTTTTGTTGTGCACTGAAGACATTTGGATTTCTGATCAAAAGATGAATATCACATTGAAGTTAGGAATGGTGATTGCAACAGAATGTGTTCTGAAGCCTAAAAAGCCATTTGGGCTGGCATTTTACAGAAAAATGCACTTAAACTAATCAGGAGAAGCTTCATCATGCATCAGGACAATGACCCAAAACACACTGCCAACACAACAAAGCACTTCATCATGGGTTAAAAGTAGAAGGTATTAGACTGGCCAAGACAACCCACGCAGACACGGGGAAAACATGCAAACTCAACACAGGAAGGCCTGAGCCGGAATCGCACCCTGCACCTCTGTACTTACTTTTTGGGTGTAGGGTCATAGAACTTGTACTGGTCCATGATCTTCTCTTCTAATTTCTCTTTCTGACGACGAAGAGCGTTCAGTTTATCACTAACAGAGTCAAAGAAGGAAAGAAACAGACATTTTTTTGCAAAAAGTCCCTAGAAACTGTTTTTCATGCTTTGTTATCATACCTGTCAACCTCGGCTAATAGCTGCCCTTATAAATGATTACGATTCCCCTTACAAAGCAACAAAAACCCGTACAACGGTTTACCGCGCATGCGCACATCATGCTTTATCAATCCGACCGTACGCAGCAATGAAAAAAAATATACGATTGAGGATTACTTTTGCTGGTTTGCCGTGACAATAGTCGCGATCGACAACGGCATTGTCGTTGGCTATCAGCAGGTGAGACGATCTGGATTTGAGCCAAAACGGTCTTTGTGAGTTCGGTTCACAATTTTTTTTTTCCCTATAAAAGTTGTAATATGCCGTACATGATTTGAAATGATGAAAAAACGTATAAAATACGGGGAAAACAACAAGTTGACAGGTATGTGTTATCAAAGTCAAAATTGCCCCTTTTCCACTTCACAACAGTTCAGATCTACTCCTTATTTTGATTTGTAATTTTTTTTTAGCAATAATTGTGGTAAACAAAGGAGACTCAAGTCAACCAGGGAGTGCTGCAGCAAAGTGGAGACTGTGGAGTATCAAGGCACTGACAAATTGCATTTGCTTTTCACAACGTCCACTGCAGGGTAGGTCGCAGAATGGCAGCGGGACGACAGCGGCATCGCACCAGCTTGCCCATATTTGCCACTGGTTGCTAAGTGACCAAGTGGGAAGTAGCCTAGTGACTTCTTCTGCTGGTTTTGATGTACAAGTAAAACTTTCAAAAACTAATATTTTTATTGTTAAAAATGCTGAAATCACACATTTCAAACACTTTCAACCAACATGGTCCAAAGTCGTGGAGGTCTGCCTTTTTTACCACGTTACAGAAGGACATCTACCTTGTGTTGCAACTCGTCAGGAAAACTACGACACCACCCGCATTAATTATTGATTCCGCTATTTGTCATATTTTGCTTTTCTCTGCTGTTTTTGCTGTCAATCTGGAATCACTCCGCCACAATCTATCGGCAGGGTGTGGCGATGCATAAACAATCAATGGGTTCGTGAATGGCTTATTGTGATGTGCCAAGTGCAGTGTGAAAAGGCCTCATGCTGCAGCTTCCACTCAACAAGGGCAGCGTACGTTAGCATGTTTGTACTAATTTCCATTAGGGTTATACGTTACAAAGCCTGTAGGAATGACAAAGCTGCTTGATCAACAGTGGTTTCCATCACCCATGAGGCATCTGCTCAGCATCCTTAGACGGCCAGCTAGTACCTGATGGCACCAATTGCCAGCGGAAAAGGGTCAGTGATAAAGTGGTGTGTCAAAGGGGCTTGAGTTCTACAGAATGAATTGCAATTGCAAAGGGTGGTGTCTACACTGCATACAACACAGTACGGAGACAATAAAGTACAGTTTCTTATGTTCCCTTGTACATCGAGTAAATATGTTGGTGCGCGAATAGTTACATGTACAGCTTCTGCTCCTGATGATAAAGCTCTTTGCTCTCCATGCTTCTTTCCAGCAGAGTGTGATTTTGCTGACTCAAAAGGTTGATCTGGCTCAGCAGGTGATGATTTTCTTCTTCTAAGTTCCCTTTCAGGCGACTTAATAGCTGGTTCAAACCAAATGCATTCCAGAGTTGACACAAGCGTATCGCCTAATTACCGTATTTTCCACACAATAAGGCGCACCTAAAAGCATTACAATTTCTCAAAAGCCAACAGTGCGCTTTATAATCCGGTGTGCTTTGTATACACGTCTCTTTATATTTCCCATTGAGTTGTTTCCCTGTTAGGGTTCCGATGCCATCTAGTGGTGATTATTAGCAGGAACCAATTGTAACCTAAAAGGGTTCTGCCCGACACAAATTGACTGGCGCATTCGTCAACACGCACTGAAACAGAGCTCACAAAGCTCCGCGCAGCCATTATGAAACGAAGATAATACCAAAAGCAGAGTTAACGACTGACAAAGGAAGGAGACAAGCAAGGCTTCAAAGGATATTTAGACCCTTATGAATGTGAGCCCATGAGGTTTGTCTGTCTTTTTGTCGAATCAATTGTCATAATAAATTTTGTCTTTCATTTATTGTTTTGTAATGCCATTTGTATTTATATGTTTCATGTCCATGTTTGTGACCAGTTCTTCATGGCTTTGCTGGGTGATAAAGCTTTATTGTATTGTATTCACTTTAGCGTAGCTCCATCTAGTGGTTGCATAATGCCACCGCAGCCACTATTGGAGCTTCTATTCTATGCAATGCAATGAAAACAGTTTTGAAATAGGCCATTCATTGAAAATGTGCCTTATAATCCGGAGCGCCTCATTGTGGAGAAAATATGGTACATGAACAAAACTACTTTTTTACATTTGGGAAAAGGTTTACCTCACAGTGGTTGTCTAGTTTGGTCATAGTGAGGTCCAAGCCCTGGTGTTGCTCCATGAGCGTATCATACCGTGACATCCATCGATTCACTTCCAGCTGGGCAGTGCTAAATGAGGTCTTGAGTTCATTCATCTGCTGCTGTAGCGCATTGCACTGCGCAGATTGTTGGGATTCGCTATGTGACATCCTAAAGATTGTACAGGACAAGAGCCAATAAATATGTTTCTTCTGAAGCTGCAATATTACCTTATTTCATAGATTTTTGAAAATTGGAGACAATAATCGCCACGAGAACTGAATAACACTAGGGAATGATTTGAGGATAATAAAACTGTGCAGTCACAATAGGTCAGTACTATGAATATCAGCAAACAGAAGACTAGCATAGCAGTTTGTTCTCTTAACCTTGTAGCTGCGTGTTTTATTACACGTTAATTTCATAATTTTTTTGAAGAAAAGGGGGATCTTACATGTCTATAGCTTGGTATCATAAAGGAAAAACTGAGATCAGTTTTGGATTCCACACCCAAACATTTGTTAAAAATGGCTGTCAAACCTAACTCAACAAAAAAAATGTGTTCCCCAGTGTAATCTCTTTGTTGACCAACACCCCCTCACTGAGCTGTCCACAACAATCAAGAGTCTCATGCCCCAAATCACAATCACAAGTATTGCGTGTTCAAATGTAACCTGATGTGGTATAGACATTGACTTCAAGGAACTAAAAAAAAAAAAAAAAAAAAAAATCGTAATCTGGAGCTCTGCATGGATGTCATAAACCTGTCAGTGTCTGCCATCTTGTACCTGTCCACTTCATTTTTAAGTTGAAGGTTTTCTTGCTGCAATAGCCGATTCTTCTGGTGCTCTTGGTTTAATGCCTCTCTCTCCTTCTGACCCCGCCCTTCTAATTCCTCCCATTTCTCTTTTTGCTGCAACAAAGCGCAATACCTGCAAAGAGACAGAGAGAAATTACACAGAGGTCAATTAGTTTTCAGAAGAAAAAAAACAAATGCTGCCATCAATCATGAATATAGTTGCATATAGAGCTGCAACTAATGATTGGTACTTCAATAATGGATTCATCTGTTGATTTTTTTTTCATGAATCAATGAATCAGGTAAACATTTTTTTTTATACATTTCTATCCCTTTCGAAAATAAGATAAGAAAACCTTTATTTGTCTCACAATGGAGAAATTTGCAATCTACAGCAGCAAAAATAAATAAATAAATACAAAATAATAATATATATATATTTTTAAAAAAAACATTATTTCAAATTTACATTGTGGAAATCTGCCCAAACAGAATGCTGCATTCTGCTGCATCGTGTTAAAAATTACATTCGCAAACGACTTAGTCCTATGCTGGACTTGTGTGTTACACAAATGTGCATTGACCGCTCTACTTGTGCGCGACATGACGTGTGACATAGAGCGATTAAACGTAATAAAAGGTTTTTACAACATACCATTTAATTCAATTGCTGAGTCACAATTTTGATGTTCAACTGAAAATTCAAAACTGGGGGGAAAGTGCTTGTGTTCGACCTTGTATTTGTATGTGACAAACTTACTTGCTGTGCATTGTTCTGTGTTCGCCCTCTAGTGTCCTCTGCTTGACTTTCAGAGCCGTGTGTTGACTGATCAACTCCTCGTACTCATGTGCTTGCCTCTCATGTACATTCAGCAAGCGCTCGTGGTCATTGAGAACGCTTTCTCTGCCTCGCCAGGCCTCCTCGCGCTGTCTTTGCCATGACTCGACCTCATTCTCCAAGGCGGTGACTTGGCCTTGCAACACGGCATTCTGAGCCATGAGAGATGCACTCTGGGACGACAGTGTGGAGTTTTCCACCTAGGAGACAGTAACATCCATTATACCAGGGGTCTGCAACCTGAGTCTCCAAAGCCGCAGGCGGCTCCTTCATCCTTCTGCTTGGGCTCGCTGTGACTTTGGAAAATCAATTGTTAGTATTACACTTTAAATTTGTTTTAATTTTAGTTACTAAATTTGAAGACTATGGTGCTCTTGTAACATTAAAATAAAACTTTTTTTTTTCCTCTCAAAATATGCGGCAGAGCTGCCTTCACCTGGGACCAAGATTTTCTGAGCTATTCGAACCCCTGCAAGCAACCCAAGAAAAAAACAGTATCTGAAGTAAAATAATAATAATATTACGTGCCACATCGGCTACATTAAAAACAAACATCATTCACACATCACAGATGAAGGCTTACAATTGTGCGGGAAAGCCTTACTGCCTTGATGTGCCGACACTGTACGCCGAGGTTCAGGAGGATAAATCACATCAAACAGGTAAAAAAATATTTTAAATGACTATTATTATTCAATTCTATACATATGCTTACATTGTTAAGTGAATTTGGTTTTTTTTTTCTAATTCAAGATGACAGCTGACTGCACACAGCACACATAATAAAATGATGACCAAACAGAAGCAGATGGCCTTTTTGGTTTGTGGCAGCTGGATAATTTAAAGTTGGCTTTAATCTGACTCAAAAAATGAGTGTTTTATTTAAAAGATTCAACCAAATGTCTTTTTTTTTCAGAGTTCAAAATATTTTCGGTACATGTACGAAAAACATGTAGCATTCTCTGTAGCAGGTCATTGATTTCATAAATGCAACATACTACAGTTTAATTCATACATACAGGGAAAAAATAGAGAGGGAGAGGGAGGGAGAGAGAAAGAGTAAAGAATTTGAGATTTGGATATGATTTGTTCGTTACTGTGGTATGAAACAAAGTAAAACAACATGCCGAAAATATGATTGTGAACAAAATGATTGCCTAAAGTGTTTCCGAATGATCTGTGTACCTGAAGTTGTGCTGTCTGAGTATGCAGAGCTGAATTCTGCTCCTGCAGCACTGTGGTGTGTCGCTGCAGTGTTGCCATTTGGTTGTTGAGTGAACTGTTTTGGTTCTCAAGCTGTTTAAGCTGATCCTTCAACAAACTGCTCTGAGTCTGCAATGAGGCATTCTAGGGAAAATACGGACACTGTTAATAATGACAAGAGGCAAGAACTACTCAGAAAATATGACTGAATTACAAAACAGTGATGTATTTACAGGAAACTGGATGACATGAATTCATATGTTTGAAAATCAAACTAAATTTAATTTCTGAGCAATGGGGTGAATGTTAACAAGCATCAATGACATTATATCAATTAGACATTAGTGTGTGTGGGTGTGTGACACTCCCACACATACTCAATCGCGTGCAACCCCCCCACCCCCGAAACTTACATTCTTCTCGATCTCAATGAGATGATCTTTGATACGGAGAAGCTCAGCAGTTGCTGAGCCGCTCCGCCCGTGTCCTCCTGAGAACTCAGGGGGGTTGTGGTTTTCTTCTCTCTCCTGTTGCTCACGGAAAGTAGACACTTTCTCAAGTGCCTGAATCAAAATGAAAATAAAACAAATTCTCGTGGGTCTCTCTCTATTTTTACACAGATGTCTCTTACTCATTCTGAATTTAGTTATGTATGTTGGTATATGTTTCTGTGTCGACAGATTTAATTCTGGGGCGATAGCGAGCCTGACACCAACATGCAAGTGCTGTTGCTTCTTTGCTGCTTATTGGCAATATGTTACACCATGCAAATTGACTTCATGTGCAAATTACTGAATTGGAGAAGACTTTCTTAAAAATTGAAGCTACAACTTCATCAAGAAATGGTTAAATAAATAATAGGGGGGTCTCTAGACACCACATTTTCCCCACAAAACTGTTTAGGAAAGGCAAGGTACTCCTTTTATTGGGTGTTTAAATACCAGAAGTCAGAACAGGTCCTAATAACTGGAAGTTAACTACTCAGTGCAGTCTTTCCTGGTGTGTACTTGACCACCTTCACATTATGTTTCTTAACTTATTTGGCAAAACAACAGTTTAAGTAAAATTCACTTGCCCACTAATTCAAAACTACTGACATGAAGCGAATGCTCGGCTGTGTTTTTATTTTCACTCACAGTAGCTAGCTCATTCTGTAGCGTGGCGTTGCGTGTGTTGCTCTCTTCGAGTTTCTTCTCCAGATTGGAGATTTTGCCCTCTTTAATCTTCATTGCCTGTTGGACCGTTTCCTCCAGTCGGGATTCAAGCAGCTTGTACTTGCTGACGCACACAAGCACGAGTCAACGTCAACATTTTATAGTAAGGCTTCTCGGTACTCCAACAACGTGACTGTATTTGGTGCGATTTCAAGCTACCTATCTTCCAGCATGTGCTCCTGCTGTAGTAGTCTTTCTCGGTTCAGTCCGACCTTCTCCAGTTCTTCATTGAGTCTTTCCAACTCGACGCTGTGCTGCTGGACTCTCAATTTCTCGGACACCAACTCCTACACACAATGCTCTCTGTTACGCTTACAGTTAATTACAAACCTATGTACACCCGTATGTGCCATCCTACTGTGCAGTATATAATGTGAGTAGCTCACGCCACACAAAGTCCTCGATATCTACCCCAAAAAAACAACGATGTCACTCTTACCTCTCGAAGTGTAACCAACGTTCTCTTGTCAATGGTGGCCTGTTTGTGCAGCTCCTTGTTCTCCCTCTCCAACTCTTTGGCCTTGAGTGCCGCCTCCTTAAGCAAATTCACTTCTTTTCTCATATCTACGCCGTCTTTCTCCGCCAGAGCCAACTGACGAGCCTTCTCTTCCAGCTCTGCCTCCTTACCTTCCAGGAGCATTCTGTTCCTCCAACTCTCTTTTTCCAGGTGCTTCCTTCCCTTCTCAGACTGTTCCAGGTCCACCAGCATCTTCAGTCTCTCGTTGTCCCCTTCCTCTCTCCTCCTCTGCTCCTGACTCAGATCTTCTATTTCTTTTCTCAGCTCTTCCTGCCTACGCAATGCTTCCTGCTCCTCTCTCTCCATTTGTTCCCGCTCCTCTTTCAACTTCTCCATCTCACCCTCTAAGCGATGCTTCTCTTGATTTAGTGTGGCAACATTGACTTCCAGCCTCTCTCCTCTCTTCCTCTCGCCGTGTAACTCCACTCCAACCTCCTCCAATCTCCTCTGCAGTTCTTGCAATTCTTTCTGCACCTCCTTGTAGTCCTCCTGTTGTTTTGTGAGGAGAGAGGCTGAGGAGCGCAGATTTTCCACAGAGCAGCGGAGGTCCAAGTTTTCCTTTGTCAGGAGGCTATTTTCTGCTTCCTGTCTCTTCAGTTGCTGAAGCCCTTGTTGACCCTCCTCGGCTTCCCGTTTCAGTCTGTGCACGTCCTGCTCCAGGGAGGACACCTGCTTCTCAAGAAACTCCGACCTCTCGCTGCAAGCACGCAGAGATGTCACCTGGAGACCCAAACGTCCAAGTCAATCACTTTGTTTTTGCCCCCCTTCAGGAATCATATCATCGATAAAGGTAATGGCTTACCTCTCTGTTAAGAGCATCCCTGCTCCTCTCCGTCTTGGCCATCTCCCTCTCTACTTCACTGCATCTTTCTGCCCTCTCCCTCAGCCTATCTGCCTCTTCTTTGGAAAGCATGAGTTGAGTTTCCAGACTTGCTAACCGGGCACTGGTATCAGTAATGCCTTGGTGTAGGAGGCGATTCTCTGCTTCCACCTCGCGGACCCTTGTTTCACTGTGAGACTGCGCCCGCTCACGAAGCGACACCATAGCATCAAAAAGATGCTGCTTCTCACTCTCCAATTCTGAAATCTTGTGAAACAGGAGAAATAAAGCGGGAAGGTCTTTAGCAAGGCACAAGATCCAATGATTCTTTCTGTTGTACTTTGTGTTTACTGAAGCTTGATATGTCTTTGCTCTTCATCACATCATGACGGACTGAACTTCTCTGGTGTACAACTGAGCTTCTGACGGTGTTGCTAGAATTTACCTGTCGGTCTTTGTCTGCTCTTAGAGCGTGCATTTCTCTTTCCAGATTTTGCTTTTCCTTCAACAATTCCTCCCCAAGTGACTCCATGTCTTGATTGGTCAGTTTCTCCTGGTCCAGCAAGCCCTGGAGACGCTCCAACTGAGAGAGACCCAAATTTAGTCATGTAAAAGATTAGTTTACACCAGTGTTTCTCAATTATTTTCTGTCATGCCCCCCCCTAGGAAGAGGAAAACATCTCGCCCCCCCCCCGCACGACTATAAATCGTATCATTTGTCTATAAAACTGTTATAAGTACACCTCTGCATTACACTGTACTCTTAACAAACACTGGTTTACACACAACCCATTATATATTGAGACAAACAAAATCCAGAATCAAAATTAAAACAGAGTGAGACAAGACAAGGTCTCAGATGATCTCCTTTGCTCCCTTTCAATCCCCTATTTTGCAGTACTCAACAACAGAACCTTTAGTGGTTCTCATTTCATATCAGGTAGGCTACTTTTTAACAAGGTTTTTAAGTTTTACATCCAATTTTGGGTGTGCCTGGTTAGCAGAGAAGCATCCACAAGCCTGTTTTTGCACACGCAAACTTGAGGGCTCCACTGTCCAGGCTTGACTGTACTTCTTTCTATGAAGGGCTTAAATGGCTTACATTTTAAACCCGTTTTTTTTTCTACCTTGGTACTGAGACCCTGGTTATCCCTGTCCAGCTCTTGGGTATGGAGTTGCTTCTCTTGCAGGTGGTGATTCTCCTCTTTTAGTCTTTCAATCGAGGTTTGCAGCTCCCTGTTCTCTTTCTCCAGCTTCAAAACTCGACTGGAGACACACTCGTTGAGCTCATGGACAAACGATTTCCGGGCTGCAGCACACCGATAATTGAGAAGTCAGGTTCGGTGGAAAACAGTAATGGAAAATGTGTAGGTACCGCTATCTTACTTTCTGAGATAGAATTGTCTTGGTTTTTGGTTAGCTGTTCCAGTTCCCATCCCAGATGAGCTGATTCGTTCATACTCTGTTTCTGTCCAATCTCCAGAAGCATGTTCTCCTCCACCAGCTCCTCGAGCCGACGGCGCTCACTGTCCCTCTCCTGCAAAGACCACAACAAACATTTGTGTCTTAGAGCAAATACAACATACGAGAATACCAACTTGCATGACCACTTATACAAAAGAGCATGAGCTGAATGTTGAGGAGGCTGCGAAATTCTCAGCAGATTATGCAATTAATCAGAATTTTGTTGCAGGTCAGTGTACTGCGCATGCATATAAATATCACTTTATAAAACATTTTGCCATCTTACATATTTAATTTTTGCCTTCAATCCATCCATCCTTCCATCCATGGATGGATGGAAACTGTCCCAGCTGTCTTTGGGCAGTTGGCGGAGTACACCCTGAAATGGTTGCCAGCGAATCGAATGGCATACATATACAAACAACCATTCGCGCTCACAATCACACCGAGGGACAATTTAGTGTGTTCAATTAACCTAGGGGGCATGTTTTTACATGGAGAAAACCCAGGCAGGCACAGGGAGAACTCCACACAGCAAGGCCGGGCCCTGGAATCAAAATCTGAAACCTCTGTCCCGTGAGACAGATGTGATAACCACTTATGCACCCTACCGCCGCATTAGGTTGCTCGTGACCAAAATAAATACGTTTTTGTCTCCAAATGGATAACTGTGCTATGTAGTGAGCAACTGTGTACGATGAGCAATTGTAACATTCCACTTTTATTTGTCCTTAACAGTGTATTAAGACAAGGAAGTTGTATGTGATATAATGACACCATACCATTTCCAAGTCACGTATTTTCGCTCGTAGTAGCAGGTTGTCCTTCTCCATAGCATGAACTTTCTCACAGCGCCCCCTGGAGACTGATAGTTGGTCCTCCAGCAAAACTTTAGTCTCCATAAGGGTCAGGTTGTCTTCACGAAGCTCCTAAAATCCACACATATTAAGTATAGATGGCGTGTGAGTCCCTCTAGCTACATATTAGTTTTGGGTCTTCAGAAATCTTTTTCATACAGGTGTGTTAAACAGGGTTGGATCCATCACTGTAGATGAAGAATCCAGAGTTTTTTGGTGATACAAAATATGAAATACATCGCTACAGAGATATAACAATCAAGAACGCATAGTCACAATTGATTCATAAATGTGAGTACCATTGAAGATGTGTTTACCTCCACTCTGTTCTTGTAGAAGTGAACGTCATTGAGCTTCTCTTTACACCGAGTCAACTCGGTGTCGAGTCGGTCGACCCGGGCCGCTTTCTCCCTCAAAGAGTCAACCTCATCCCGATACAGTCGTACAGAGCGAGCCTCACAAGATAGTGACTGATTCTGAACCACACACAGAAACATGAATACATACATGCTTTCTCTTTGGCTTCCGTGGACAATTATCTTGCGAGGCGTAATTTTTTTTCCTTTCTCCTTGTCACTTTGAGCCATTCATTTGAGTCAACTAGTCAGGTGACGTAAAGGTTAAAATTCTCAGGTGTCATATCATCAAATCTGAGCAAGGCTAGGTATCACCGACAAATAGTTTCTATGCACAATATACACCTGGGAGACAGTTTTGGTGAGACCAAAAGTGGAAATCATTTGTATTCAATTTGGGTTGTTAACTGTCTTAAAAATTCTGAGTTCGAGGAGGCCATCTTATCCCAATGAACATTACATATTCCTGACATGATGGCAACATCGTACACACGCAAATTACCGTATTTGATGATGATGAAGCACACAGTGGAGGGATTAACGCACGTGAAGCTAACCTCTTGTTTAAGTCTCTGAAGCTCCTGATCTAGATGCTCCACCTCATGTTTGGAATCCATCAACTGCTCAGTCTTCTCTTCGCTGCACACAGAATTTTACAATTATCTTGTGCCTACTGCATGGTGAGGTTAAAAGCCTCAGTCGACTCACAGCTCTTGTCTATATCTGCGAAGCTTGGCCTTCGTGTCCGCAAGCTCGACAGATAAATGCTGCTTCTCTTCTTTGGTAAGGCTGGCCACAGCCAAGGCTGATCCTTTGTTATTCACTATCACACCTCCTGAAGTATTCACTTGCCCTGGGTTACCTATTGATCTTTCCTGGGGATGCAGGCTGGATAAGTAGTCCCTCTCCTGGGTAAGATCCACAATGACCTAAAAGGGGTGACATCAATTCTCAATATATATCTATATAAATAAAAATATAGGTACCGTATTTTGCGCACTATAACGCTCACCTAAAAGCATTCAATTTTCTCTAAAGATGACAGTATGCCATATAATCTGATGCACCTTCTATATGGTGTTACAGTCTCTTTATAATCCCCGTTGAGTTGTTTCCCTGTTTGTGTTCCTATGCCATCTAGTGGTGATTATTAGCAGGAACCAATTGTAAGCTAAAAGGGTTCTGCCCGACACCAATTGACATGTGCATTCGCCAACCCACACTTCAACATACAACGACTTCGTTAGTATCTGCGCAGCCATTATGAAATGACGATGATACCCCAAGCATAGTTAACTACTGATTTAACTAGCCCCTTGTGGACGTGAGCCCACGAGGGCAATTGTCTTCATAATTTTGTCTTTCATTTATTGTTTTATAATGGCATTTGTATTTATGTTTCATGTCCATGTTTGTGACCAGTTCTCATTGTGACAGCTGCAGCGGTTGTGAAGGCTTTATATCAGTGTTTTTCAAACTGTTTTGAGCCAAGGCACACTTCTTTCATTGAAAAACTCTCGCGGCACACCACTAGCTGAAAATGTGAAAAAAAACCTGCTTATTTTAACAATTAACGTGTTATATTGTTACTATAACCGTTTTTAACATTTAAGAAAGACGCCATAACAGCTTGAAGTGGAATCAAATGAACACAAAGAAAAAAATATTTGATAAGCTTTCATATTTATTGTTTCACTGTCGTCCTGCATTCATGCGGCACAGATTCGCTTGTTAGCAATGTCTGGCGGCACACCAGTGTGCCGCGGCACAGGGTTTGAAAAACAGTGCTCTATATAAATAAAGCTGTATTGTATTGTATTCCCCTTAGCCTAGCACCATCTAGTGGATGCATAGCGAAACCGCAGCCACTATTGTATGCGCCTTATAATGCAATGCGCCCTATACCGTATATGAAAACAGTTTGAAAATAGGCCATTCATTCAAGGTGCGCTTTAAAATCCAAAGCGCCTTATAATGCAGAAAATACGGTAATGTAGCAAAATGTTCATTTCTCATTAAATGTATATGTGTTTTCATACGTTACGAATGTTTCCTGCATGTCTGACACTCAATTGTGATCAAACCTTTAAGGTGACAGTGCCTCGGTAAGCGGATGCCAGATGGCAAAAAAACTGCCATAAAGCTTTAAAAATAGTGCTAACCGGTGCATTAGCAGCCCATGTTTTTGGCCTGCTAGTTAGGGCACCCGACTCTTGAGTCGGGGGACGGTGGTCGCGTGTGTTCGAGCCTCGGTTTGCACCTGACCGTCACACCTGATCGATTGTACTTCAGCTTCGAAGTCAAGTTCATAGGACAACTATTTCATGAGATGTCTGCTATAGAAATTGTTCAATGTGTTTTATTCATAATTCTTTTTTTTTTTTGTGGCTGTTATTGTTACCTCACTGGCCTTGTCTCTCTGCGCTATCAGTTGCTGTAGAGACGTAGCCATGCTGCGTGACAATGGTTCAAGCTCTTCCTGTGCGAGCCCTGCTCCTTCCTCTAGCCATGAAAGGTCAAGAACATTCTGCTGGTTGTGGGTCACCTGCAAATTCAGACATTTACACACTTTTACTTTTCACTTGTTATACGACTGTTGTAGTCAGCAGTGGGACACTGCACCGAACTGTACTGAGATCTTTTTTCTGATATTTCACCGTTCCGAATTAGCTCAATAAGGAAAACCAAAATAACAGGATACAATTGATCAATCAAATAACCAAGTGCACCTAATGGTCTACAACGTAAAGTCCAGGATAGTCATCATGTTCATCGTTGACCATATACGTATACTGTTCTTCACTGACCTCCTGGATGTGAGAGACGATGGCAGCTTGGGTCTCAATGTCCAGCAGTTTGATCCTTTCGATCATCTCCTCCTTACGCTCACACTAATGATGAACACACACTTCAATCATTAGAAATATACATTTTTGCAAGTTGTTTTTATATTCCGCTATCGAAAATGGAAACTACAGGAAATATATTGTACATGTAAAATTTGTGGCTGTTTATTTAGCTGTTGCTAAGAGCATTTCATCATGTCAGCATTTGTACATGGCCCAAGAAACCCCTTCCTGTCTTCCTGTTCACTGCCTCCGCGCAGCCTTCCTTTTTCCTGAAAACAGTCAGACTAGACCAGGTAGGAAGGAGACAAAATATCGGGGAAAAAATAGAAGGAGAGGGAGTGAAGTTTGGAAGGACGGTAACAAAGGGAATAACAAAGCAACTGCGGAGAATGAGAAGTTTAGAGTTTAAGTGGGCGCAGAGTCAAGGTGACGGTCTAACTTCTGTATTAGGATGCTGCTAACAGTAAAAGTAAGGAGAAAAAAAGTGTTATTTGATCAACATTTTCATGAGTCTTCAGTGTAGCAAAGTATTTAATCCCACAGTGATAGTCTCACTGTGTATCTTATTAGCAGTATGAGCAATCAGCTTTGCTCAGACATGAAAAACTAAACAGAGAACAAATACTCTTCTTGGGAGAGACTGGTTGTCTGGGCATGTGTGTGTGTGTGTGTGTGTGTGTGTGTGTGTGTGTGTGTGCGCGCGCGCACATGCATGAATGCTTATGTGTGTGTACGGGTTACCTGGACAGCACAGCCAAGTATCAACAGTAAAATTCTTTTCAGCTCCTCCATGCTCTTTGCTAAAGGGTGGACAACACAACGTTTTACTTTTTCACAGTTCAGTTTTGAGCAAAGTAGCTTTTTGTGGGGAGTGAAAACAAAAGGTCTCGCCCCACTCAGAACACTTTTTGAATGTTTTTTTCACTGAACTTTTAACTCCACTCGGCTTCCTGTGTGCAAACTCCACACAGGAAGGGTGGAGCCGGAATTGAACCCTGCACCTCTGCACTGTGAGGCTGACGTCCTAAACAGTTGTCCACTGTGCCGTGCCGTGCCCTCTCTCTCTCTCTCTCTCTCTCTCTCTCTCTCTCTCTCTCTCTCTGTCTCTCTCTCTCTCTCTCTCTCTCTCTCTCTCTCTCTCACACATACCTTCACGATGTTTTACACAGGAAATACAGTTAAAGTGCATTCTGAACTGAATCCATCTGTACATCCATTTTTGAACCGCTTGCTTATCCTCTCATTTCAACTGTACCGCTTGGTGGAACACTTCAATGAAATATCAACATTTGTAAATTCAATGTCAAACACAACTGGGCGAATGATGAGTGTGACTACGTTTATATGCAGTCAATGTTTTGTTTAAGGTCAAAATTGTGGTTTCTGAAACATTTGGAATAACCCGTTTGCATGGGCGAGCAGAAAGATTTACTGCTGGATAAATTGGAATATCCGGGGGTCTTTTGTCATTGCCTTGCGCAACCACACTATTAGCAATATCCCGGTTATGAAACTTTGATTGACTGAATGTAAACATAGTCTGTATAAGTGATGAGAGTGAGCGTGAGCGTGTGCGCGCGTTACCTGATAAGGGATCCCTGGCAATGGAGAGAATGTTTGGAAGAGGCATCACTATTAACTGCTGAAGGGTATCCTGTAACAGATGAGGTTTGTTAATGAAGTGAGGAAAAAATATATATCTATATTTTTTTTAACAATTGTCTGTAAGCGGTTTTGTGGACAAAAATTTTAGGATTGGAACAGAATGCTGACAATGTTGTGTGTTTTGGGACAAGGGAAGTCGCTGTCACCAGGGAAAGGTTATCTTGGAATATAGCACGCACACACGCACGCACGCGCGCACGCGCGCACACACACACACACACACACACACACACACACACACACACGCATACAAAACGTTCTTCATTGTAAAATTCAGATGTGCAACAGTGCAGGTCTGGTAGCAAAAAGAAAAATTTATTGTTTTTTAAAAAATACATTGGATGATAAGAGTCATGTTGAAGTTAAAAAAAATAAAAGTTATCTGATCAGCATCAACTTACACGACTGCTCCAACGGAGACAAAGTGCAGTGAAGGCTCAGAAGTAGCACAATACTTGCAGGTCCAATTTCACTGTCCTAAAGACTAGGGGGTAATTTGATCGTCAAATCCCTCGTTCTCAGTGTAAATAAAATATGTGAGCTGCTTACCAGCTGGTCTTGGAAGTTGAGAAAGAATTTAAACACAAAGATGTTGACTTCCAACAAGCACAGCCTCAATTACTCAATTAACATGAACTGTAACAGTCCCCACCTGACATTTATGTTAACTGCAAAATAAGTCAGGTGACCATTTAATGTATTATCATTCAAAAAAAGTGGAAATGAAACCAAACACTGCCTGAAGCAATTCATTGAATAGTATGAAAAGTGGATTATTATCAACAGAAACACAACTTCTAACTATCCTTTGAATTTTATTAAATTCTGTAAAGCTATACAGTGGTCCCTCGTTTATCCCGGGTGTTACGTTCCAAAAACAACCCGTCAAAGGGGAAATCTGTGAAGCAAACTTTTTTCAATTACCGTACTGTTTTAAGGCTGTAAACCACACCATTAACATTTTCTCACAATTCCCTCTTGTTTAAGCACACTCAAAGTTCAAACCTTTGCAAGAAAAATACGTATACAGTATTATCATCATCATTATCATTATTATTACTATTGTTCAGCTTATTTATAACGCAAGAAAAGTCAAACCTTGTTTTAACCCTCCTATTGTGTTGTGGGTCAAATTGACCCGTTTAGAAAATCTAGGGATGATAAAAGGATTAAAACTTAGTCTACTGACCACTATTTTATCTGATTTGAATATTATCAGCATGGCAATATTTTTGATGATTAAACAGATCCAGTCACGCTGACCCAGGAACATTGTAGAACACAACAGGAGGGCCAAGACACAAAAATCTGTTTAAGAAATAAAATTGTAGACAGTTTCGGACAAATAATGATGACAATTGTTTTGACATACATGAGGAAACGTAAGCAATTAGTAATTATCTCTCGAACATATTTCACGCTTCTTCTGAAACATCCCTTTTCGTCCTGACAGAAAGACATGGCACGGAGGAGATGAATTCTAATTGGTCAACGGCACCTTTGCCAATCAGGACGCGGAATACAACGTGGGTTTGCTCGCTGTAAAATCCAGAATGTCGAATTACAGGAAGTCAATGAGGACACAATGTAGGTTTTAGGCTGTAAAAAACAGCATGCAAGATTGCACTTGGAAAAAAAAGGCCAAAAGGTGAATCGGGGGACCACTGAAAAAATGGAAAAACTATTCATGTCATTTGGAGAGCAATCGTAATATTTCCTTGTCTGAGCTCTCAAGTGGGCAGCACGGTGGTCAACTATTAGCACGTCCCCCTCAGGATGCAGAGGTGCATGGTTCGATCCTGGCTCAGGCCTTCCTGTGTGGAGTTTGCATGTTCTCCCAGTGCCTGCGTGGGTTTTCTCTGAGTACTCCCATATTCCAAAAACATGCCTGGCAGGTTAATGGGAGACTCTAAAATTTAGAGTCTAAATTGTCCCTCGGTGTGAGTGTGAGCGCGAATGGTTGTTCGTCCAAATGTGCCCTTTGATTGGCTGGCAACCATTTCAGGGTGTACCCCGCCTACTGCCCAAAGACGGCCGGGATAGGCTCCAGCACGCCCGCGACCCTTGTGAGGATAAAGTCGTTCAGATTATGGATGGATGGAGATCTCAAGTAAACTGTACATAGTTACAAACACACATCTGAATGCAATCCAAATCGTTTACTGGATTGTTCATGAAACAAAATATCGATTCATCATTCTGATGCATTTGTATTTTCCAGTTTTACACAAATGAGGCAAAAACAATGCAATTTAGAGAAACGTGGTCATTCTAGAAGGGGTTCGTATTCTGCAATTCTGGCTCGCATGCATTGATGATGTCGTGTAGCAAAAATCACAGTGGACATCTAACACTTCAAATTGACAGGAGGTCAATATATGATGTAACAATGACCTATTTAAACACACACACACACACACACACACACACACACACACACACACACACACACACACACACACACACACACAGAATCCTAATCCATGCACCACTAACACTCTGGATTTATATATCTAATCTGAGATCAATAGAAGGGTAGCAAGTACCGGAGGATGCGATGTTAACAAAACCACAAATACTTTGGAAAACATTCCCCATCATTTATGTGGGGTACATGCAAGCTGTTTGTTTGGAAACAACATGAGTTGTATTAATTGAAAAAGTCATATAAATTATAAATGCAACTGTCTGGAGTTCATCTTGCTCAGCTTGAGCAAAATTGGATTTATTTGCAGTCGAGTTAAACGCAATACGAGAAAGACGTGTGTAAAAATGTCATCCAAACAAGAGACTGTAGGAGGAGCAATCAAAAGGACAGCGGAAGCTCAATTTAACAGGGGGCCAAGGGGTCATTTGTTTGAGCTGATTTGCATTGAAAGATTTTTTTCACAGCTTAAATCCAATTGTAATTATTGTAATCAAATGTTTAAAAAAAAAGTTTGAAACGAATTGAAAAGTTTTAAAATTTCTCCAAATTTGCGTTGGTGCTTGAGGGCGCAAAAACCATTGGCAAGTATTACCGTAGACCACACTGACAGCGGTGGCTGCTCAGTCTGTGAAAACACGAAAATATTCAAAGAACAGCAGGCCTCGCTGATTAGCCTCAGTTAAGATCAGTGTCCATGACTCAACTTTAAAGCCTGGATCCCACTGCGAGCTTGAACGAAAAATTAACATTCGCGAACACTTGCAAATCTTCTCCGCTCAATGGGATGTAGATTTAAGAAATACTCTGGACAAAAATGGCCTCCATGGGAGAGTTCCAAGGGAAAAACCACTGTTGACAAGTATACAATATAATAAAAGGTTGTCTCATTTGGCAAGAAACAATGTTATGATTCAGAAGAATTTGGGATCATTATTTTTATTTGTTTTTAGCACCTTATGTAGAAGAAAAAAACCCCGATTAATTAAACAATGAGTTCTGCTTTTGACCAGAAAATCTTTCGGGTGATTACGCCTCTGAATAGCTCCCCTCCAAAAATTCAGGTTTTGGGGTGGCCAAGTCAAAATGCGGACTTCAATCCAATTGAGATGCTGCAGTACGACCTTAAATGGGCAGTACATTCTCAAAAACCTTCTAAGGGCAAAGTTAAACAATTCTATGAAGAAGAGTGAGTCAAAATTCCTCCATGGCAAATGCTTGACTTCAGTTAATGCTGCCATGGTTGCTAACCTTTTACCAGCTATTATTTTTCACACAGGCCAAAATACAGTAGGTTGACTTTTTTCCCCCTTAATTACAATCATCCTTTCGAAAGAGCATTCTATAGTTACTTGGGTGAACTTTGTGAGATACAAAATTTACATTGATGACGTGAAAGATACAAGATAAACGTGCAAAAATCAAGGGAGGTGGAAAATACTTTTTCCACAGCACTATGTAAAGTAGGCCGGAGGATCTGGAGTTCAAAACATCCCATAGACGCAGCCCTTTGTTGCAGTTTCCAGAGTAACCGAGGAGGGAGAAGGTGCAAGCATGACGCAACCCTTAAATTTATTTGGACTGGGGAGCAGCACTGGTGAATGGTGAGAATCAAAGTTGCACCAGCTCCTCGATACTATGACCCCACCGGTATACTCAACTGCGAAGATGCAATTCTACAATATTCCAGGTGACATAAAAGGTTAGAAGTAGTGCTGTCAAACGATTAAAATGTTTAATTGTGATTAAATGTATAAATGTTGCAGTTAACTCATAATTAATCACAATTAATCACACATTTTTATCTATTCTAAATTTGCTTTGATTTGTTTTTGTCCTATTACCCCCCCCCCCATGCCCCGCCCCCATTTTAATGCTCTCATCAACATGGAATAGTGGATCAATTTTCTTTGTGCAAAATACAGACAACAATTTCAATTTTACATTAACATTTTTCACTTTTCACACAGTTCACGACTGCAAAACACATATAACTTTGTGTGTTTCTTTGGTCTTGTCAGTGGAACCATCTGGCAACTTTTTAAAAGCAAACTTTCCATTCATAAGCTCTTGAGTATCCATTTTCGGTGTCTAGCGTTGCCATTCGCTCAAACCGCGGCTGACCAAACAGACATGCGCGTGGACATGTGCGGTGCGCTTGTTGTTTTGTTGCCGGTTTATTTTAGACCAACATAACATCCGGTGTGATGTGACGCTGCATTAATCTCGCGATAAAAATTGTAATCCCGTTAAAATTGATTTAAATTAATGCTCATAATAACGCGTTAAATTGACAGCACTAGTTGGAAGCAAATGACATCAACACCAAAGACTTGGACGAGGCAACGTTAGATTTGTTTTGGAATGAGTGTGAATGTGACCAGTGTGTTAGACATATGGTCATTTGAAGCACTGTGGAAACTAGTCTTGAGAGTTGGTGATATCTTGTTACAGGGCTTGACACAAAAAAGAACAGGGAGAGGTGGGAGACACTCGCTTTCATTCAAACACACATGCATTCACATACACAGAGCTTAGCACTGCAACGGGTGTTGGCTCCTTCCTAATCGGGATGGCATACCAGCCACTCTCCAGACACTGGTTCGAGCTGAGTTTCTGCACTGTCGACCCATGTAAAAATTCAGAGAAGCATCCAGTGTTTCAGAAACGTGTGCATATGGTCGGGTATGTGTGCGCGCGTATTGTCAAAGCTGAGCATTTGACTGCAGAGATCACTCACCCACTTAAGCCCAGACTGTCCAGAATGACCCAATTTAAAGTGTGTGTGCAGACTGTACAGATAGTTCAGACAGAAGGACGCACAGACTATAATCGGTGGTCCAACGACGAAGGGTGGGTAAAAATATCGATTCATCGATGTGTTGCAATACTTCACTTCACAAGTCAGTATCAATTCAGCAAGTCCTCTGAATCAATCGACGGGGAACAATGGATGGGAACGTTGCACAACAAAACAAAAACAACAACATGGCACCAAAAGCCAGCTGCTGCAGCCTGAAGCTAGCGCCTTCTATTTCTGACGTTCTGGGTCCTTTTGGATTGCCCAGTACATTTGCTTGCCAACTGCAGCCAGGCACTGTTCATGCATAGAAGGAGCTTCAACAATACGTGTCGTGGAAAAGTAGCCATTTAAGAAGTTGGTACAGACACTCGAAACATCCTACGCATTACCCACACGAAAACATGACAGAATCCGCCATCCCGAAAGTGTACACAGAATTGTGGACAGCGTTTTTCGAGTTGTTGAAGTCCTGAAAAATTCCTCTTACACGTGACGGCTGGATTTTCAGGGCAACTAACACCAATCTACTGGTCACTTCTTATTTAATTGAAAGTAAAGAAATGTTAACTTTACACGCACTTTACTTTTTCAAATACTGAGCTTTCATCATGGTTTTCAGATCATGTACTCTAGTACAGTGTTTTTCAACCCGTGTGCCGTGGCACACTGGTGTGCCGCGAGACATTGTCAGGTGTGCCGCGGGAAAATATCCAATTTGTATGCCTGTGCGGTCTTTCGCCCAGAAAGTAATCATGTAGTACCCTCCCATACCGCTGGGGAGCAGCAACAGCTAGCCAATTGTCTTGTGTTTCGACGAGAGACAAGCGAATTTGTGACGCATGAATGCAGGAGGACGGTGAAACAATAAATATGAAAGATGATAAAATACTGTTTTCTTTGTGTTCATTTGATTCCAATTCAAGCTGTTATAACGTCATTCTTCAATGTTAAAAACGGTTATAGTAACAATATAACATGTTAATTGGTAAAATAAGCGGGGGGGGGTCACATTTTCAGCTCGTGGTGTGCCGCGAGATTTTTTTCAATGAAAGAAGTGTGCCTTGGCTCAAAAAAGTTTGAAAAACACTGCTCTAGTATAATCAAGTTCAAGTCAAGTTGATTGTCAAATGTGCTACATACAGCACAGATCAAATTTCTTTCCTCAGGAGAGAGAGGAGTCCAAATAAGTTGTTCTTGTGCATTTTGATAATTATTTATTTTATTATGATGCACTTGGGCGGCAACGGTGATCATCTGGTTAGCACGTCGGCCTCAGAGTGCAGAGGTGCAGGGTTCGATTCAGGCTCTGGCCTTCCCGTGTGGAATTTGCATGTTCTCTCCGTGCCGGCATGGGTTTTCTCCGGGTACTCCGTTTTTCTCCCACATTCCAAAAACATGCATGACAGGCTGATTGAACACTCAAAATTGTCCCTAGGTGTTACTGTGAGCGCGGATGGTTGTTCGTCTGTGTGTGGCCTGCGATTGGCTGGCAACTGGTTCAGGGTGTTGCCCACCTACTGCCCGAAGATGACTGAGATAGGCTCTGGCACGCCCGTGACCCTCATGAGGATAAAGCGGTTCAGATAATGGATGGATGGATGGATTGATATTGTCCACGTTTTAATTTTTAACAAATCACAGCTCACCTGCTTTCTGGATTTGAGCCGTGATTGGTCATTACCTACGCTCAATGGCACTGTGATGTCATTTTCAATCGACAGCAATTGGTAAAATGGCTGCCCCCTGAGATGGATACGAACCGGTGGGTTCATATTCCACAAACAAAATATTAATCACAACGCCGTGTTTAGACTAGTGAGGGCGTAGGGAAAATGACTGTAAATATAATTTTTGACTTGACTTCCCTTTAATTACTTGTAACTGTGGCACCATTAATTTGCGAGGAGGACTGATTCGACGTCGGATTTTTCTGCCTTCAATCGGCAGCCTTTGCATTTATTCTATACCATGAAATAAGGCTGTTATCGGTCTGACACCGATACTTTGTGTATATTTTAGGTCAGGGGGAGGGAACTCCGGTTCCTTGAGAGCCGTAGCCTTCTTGTTTCCGATCTCTCTATTTCAACACACCTGATTCAAACGATCAGCTCATCAGCAAGCTCTGTCGAAGCCTGAAATGATCAAGATCAATTGAATCAGGTGTGTTGGAGTAGGGAAAGTTTGTAAAACAGGCAGGATATGGCTGTTGAGGAACTGGAGTTCCCTACCCCTGTTGTAGGTAATTGCCCATCCCTACCTTTCAGAGCATTTACATCAATATCGAATCAAAATCTGTCAAATCGCAAACCTGAAAAATCAATACCAAACTGAATCACAGCCTAAAATAATCTAAATCTAATCGTGAGGTTCTCAAGTATGACAGTCCTGTCAAACCCTATTCACTGAATTCTGACAAATCCAATCCATAACGGCACGTTTGATAAAAAGCGGTGCACTTTTATTTTTATCTACAGAGAGCACGAGTCTGTAAATTTTAACTTGGTTCTGACACAGTGACTCCACCTTGTACAGTAAGCAATCTAAGTGAACTTTGAGATTGTATCACTCTAGTCAAGGGGTGTGTGTTTGTTTGGTGGGCCGTTGGGGTGGAGCTTAGAGGTGGGACAGTTAGTGGATAGTCTTTGTATAAAAATGCACGGAACAATACTTGAGCATTTGAGACCAACCTGGCTCTGGTGGAAGTAAAAAAACAATGTCCTCACAGCACCGTTCAAACACAAGACATTGCATGTCAAGTCTATGTTTCCAAGTAAACACTAAAATGCAGTTCACACGCTGGTGTGGTTTAGATCCCTGCCCTGGCTATTCTTTTGTTTTTCAGAAATCTACTTCAAAAGGTTGATTTACAGTTTCATTTTGGCAAATTAGGAAGTATGGATGGATAATCATACCTTTTATTTGACCACCTGTTAAAAGACTTCCAAACAACTTTGATATCAAAAGCAGAAATATAACACAGTATGAGATGTACTTGTGTGGTCTTGCCAAGCCTCAAGTTGAGACAATTGTAGCTCGTCAATCAGTGTCCTTTGAGGAGATAGATACAGAAGCTGCGGGAGTAGTTTATATGTTCCAAAAGGGCAGCGCGGCTGACCGTGACTGGCTACTTCGTTCTAAATCATGTTTTGACTTTGACACAAAAAGTGCAAACATTTGTGGCAAAGTCGTGGACGCTGTGCTGGCCTCGCTTGATCCAACTATGGAGGTTTTGTGAAAAAGCTGGTTTATGTTACATCGCTTGCTCAACATGGAGACAGGCGCACGGTATTGTCGCCATCATCATGGTACTAAACTTTTTTTAGTCAAGACAAATGCATAATATGTAGTGTGCTTTCCGAAAAAAAAAAATGGTCTCTTTCTGGAACGCTGGTTTGCAAGGGTTTTAAATCCTTCTGTACTCAGGTGTAGTACACAGTGGGTTTCGCCTTTCTTAAAAGTACTTCAAATTTGGGTTTTGACATGGCGTATCTTGAAAACCTATGTTGTAACTGTAGCATCAGGTCTTTCCGCAAACGTAGAAACACCATCACTGGCGCAAAAACTTGAATGACCCATGTTGTACAAGCAATAAATAATAAATTCATTGGACAGAACACAAAATAGCACTGAGGAAAAAGTGTACATGTATGTATTGTTATACAAGAATGGGTTCCCCAGCAAGGGCGTGTTCAGAAGGTATTTGTCAATCAAAGCTGAGGAGACACTTCAGATGACATACAAACAAATGAAACCCACAAACAAACACTGCGATGATTTTTCTGAACACAAACACAATGGCTTCCTGGTTTCTTGGATCATGAAGATTGCGTCAAGGGTCCTTTGTGAGTATGCATACCTGGTAGTAGGTCCTGATGTGTCTCGTGAGAAGGGTCAAATTGTGAAGGCGAAGCGACACATCATTGTTCACATTCTTGTTCAGCCTCTGGTTGTTTGGACTGGGGTCACTATGGAGACAAAAACGCACGCCAAAGAGGGTTTGGATTTATGTCGTTTACGCCTGTTTAAGACAAGGATCAATAAAAATTAGTCCCTTTGTTCAGAATGAGGATTTAGGGTCTTCCATGTCACCGTGTGCCAGTCTCATTTGCATATGAACTGTGTGTATGCGTGACCATGAAAGGCTGGCAACATTGCTTGACCGAGCCTTCAGGGACATGAGTCAGAAGAGTTCAGTTCTACACGTATGGTTTCAACAAGGGTGTCAAAAGAAATGGGGGAAAATGTCTTGATACTCTAGATTGGAGAATTGATTAAATCTACAGTGCCTGGTGAAAGTATTACCCCCACCCCCACCCCCCTTGAACTTTTTCCACATTTCAGGTTTCAAAAATAAAGATATAAAAGTGGATTTCTTTTCAATCAACAGCACGTGTACACACACACACACACACACACACACCTCTCTCTCTCTCTCTCTCTCTCTCTCTCTCTCTCTCTCTCTCTCTCTGTGTGTCATTGCAGTAGACCACTATCAGCCATCTGTCGGAGGTGGGGCTCACCTGCCAGCGCCACTTGACACGCAACAAGCGATGGAGGGGAAGGAGGGAAGGCGGCAACATCCGTCATGCACAGGTTGCAAATCGAATTGAATGGAGGGAAACACTGTTGCCGGCTGCTGCGTATGAGTAACTGCGCAGCAATTTTTTTCCCTTCCCACTCCAGGTGTACCCCAAAGTCCAGGGACCGGTCCGTGCCTCACACTGGAGTACAGCTCATTAATACTGGGGGATATGCAACCGTAAAAGGGGTCTCGCGATGCCACTGATCAAGACCTAACTGACAGGAAAACACAATGTCACTGCTGGATTGATTTAAAGATTTACAATGAAGAGTATTTAGTGTCTTTTTCTGCTGAAGTATCATATGCTTATTATTCCAGATGTTCTGCCCTCGTAAAGTTAATGCTACAAGTATTACTTCTACTTTTGGGGAGCTTCAATCTCCTCACACCACGGTCATGTCTGTCTTCATTGTTTTGCGAAACGTTATAATAATGCTATTGTTCTCCACACATTGAATGCCCCTCGGCTGGCTAGCCCCCGCCCTCAGGGAGGATTTAGGTTTTCTACGGTATAGATGAGAAAGTGGGTTAAACAGGAGCGTGAGCGGTATTAAAGCAGAGAGAGAGAGAGAGAGAGAGAGAGAGAGAGAGAGAGAGAGAGAGAGAGAGAGAGAGAGAGAGAGAGAGAGAGAGAAACCCCTACTAGAAAGCTTGTTGAAAAGACGTCAAAACAAGACTGTATGAAGCAAATTTACCCATCAAGTCATGTAAAAAGAAAGACAAAAAAAGGATTGCTGCCAGTTTGTCCCGGTAGTACCAAGCATCACATTGTTGACTATACGTTACTAGCACATTCAACACCAAATAGCAGATGAGAGAAAACAAATGGCTGTTCATTATTCCATACAGAGCTCAGTGTTTTAATTGCCAAACACGTGTTTAACTTATATGAGCATATTAAAAAAGCAAGCTGACCAAATATAGCATGCTGTTTTCTTTTTTTCTTGAAGGTGCTCTCACATTTTTGGGACAAGAACAGCAGCAGCTCTCTTAAAATCCAAATTGGACTTCACTAATTTTGTACATGGCACCATCCATGCTCGCACTGCCACTTTACCCACAAACACAGCTTTCTCTGGGGTGCGGAACACTGAGCGCACAATGGAGTCTGATGCTAACGTAACACAAAAACTGCTTTGCTATGCTTTTGTTATAGTGTTTGAAGTGTTCATAGTGGTTGAAATATACAAGACTAAATATATATTCATACCTTCATTAATATCTCCAGTAGTAATTTCAGTCAAGAGTATGGCAGTGAGGTTTTTTGTGGGCGTGTGTGCATGTGTATCCATGCGCGTTGTCATGTGGAACGGGACATAGTGGTCCCTGACCTTTTTTCTGTCACGGACTGGTTCATGCTATGACATTTTGTGATCTGGCAACAATACATTACATTCCTGCCATGGTGATCACATAAAATTGGGGAATATCTGCTCCACTAGATAACTTTTTTTTTTTTTTTTTTTTTTTAATAAGACCGGCACCGCACCAGACCAATGCAGTTGGGGACCTGTGCCAGAATAGAGCTTTATGCTCCTGGTCCTGATGTACACTTTTTGGCACAAATACTGTTTTGTACAACAGTACTTGTTGAGTCCATATAATTACTTCAACTATACAGAGAGTGCACAAAGCTTTTCATCGTGGAAAGATACTTTGTTAAATTAAATTCAAATTGCACCTATTCCACCAATCAACAATGTGTGACTCAGTAAAAACACTGACTGAAGTTCAAAGAAGACATCTGGCAGTAATGCTCAGAATTTGAAACTAGCTCGTCAGGATGTGGTTCCAGAAACTCACTCATATAGATGCACGCAGGATACCATTCATGCACTCTTTCCTGTCCACACAGACCAAAGAGTATTTGTCAACTGAATCATGACAGCGAGACTCACTAAGGGCCCTATTTTTCATTCCCAGCGAAAGTCTCGCGAAAAAGGCAGTGTAATGGATGGAGTTTTCTTTCTTTTGCTATTTTTGCACAGGTAGAATTGCGTGTGACAGACCGTTTGCACCTTTGTGCCCCATTGTGGGATGGAACAAGCTGAGTCCCGGCCAATCGAAGCGCACTCACTTCATTTCCGTTAAAATCAGGGCAGCCAAAGCAAACGCAATTTGACATTGCGGAAACAGTAATAGACTGAAAAGAGTCCATGCATGACATTGGCACCTAAACTGCAAGATTTCCCCTTGCAAATGATAAGTCGGCCAAGTATATTAGGTGAGCAATTGGAGACCGCCTTGCACCTGCACGACTGTGCATGCATGTGTGACCATGCCCTCCCTCCCCAACAGTAACCGCAGTGCTATTAAAATACTTTAAATATTAAATAAGGCGATAATGATTCTAATTTGTTCAATGAATTGATTTTTACAATGATTCAGAGGGGTTGTCCCACACCCTTTGTCATATTTATACAATACAATACAGCTTTATTTATACAGCACTGTCACAATAGCTGCAGCTGAAACAAAGCGCTTTACGGACGAAACATTTGAATGAAATCCGGTGACATCCACCACACACGTCCGCTGAGTGCCGAATCTGTGTTGATCAAATACACCAAAATTGCATTATGTCACCTGTGCAGCACAAAAGTCTAAAATTAGGTCTACATTTTGTAATCAAATTTTCAGATCAGGTTGAGGCAGGAACGCCCAGTGAGGCAGAGCGCTTCTACCAAATTCACAAACACACTGAACTAGACAATTGGCCCAGCACGAAAATGACGATGTGGCTTTTTTTACGCCGAGCACAGACTACTTTCAATCACCAAATTGTTGGATGAGTCGGGAGCGAGGCAAATCTGTGTGGCAGACGCCAAGAGAGGCACAAAACAGTCCCAAACATACTCGACTAGACTCATGCTGGCACGAAAATGAAGCTATGCCCGTTTTCAAACCGGGCACATGGGTGCCACTCGACTAAAATCGGCCCTGAAACGTTACCTACATTTGTGTCATGATCTTGTGCAGGAAGACGCCATCCACAAGTTCGACGAACATGTTGACACGCTCCTCTGAACCCGCATTGTCACATGATCCCAGTGGACCCAATGTCCGCACCTAAAGACACACAATATGGGGTCAAAAACCATCAGAAAAAAAAACCCGTCAGATCCCACTTAGAGTTTTTGAGCTTTTGAACTGCTAGACATGTTCTGGACATTAAGAAGCTGCACCAGAGCCATAACGCCATTATAAGTCATCTCTGGAAAAAAAAATGATGCAACCTTTAGCATAAAACTATCTTTTGTCTGCATTTTAGTTGGAAAGGGTAGAAAATGATGGATATTTTAAACAAAAATCATTGCGGAGTCATAGAGACCGCATTAGAAACTTTTCATTCCATGTTGCATTATTATAACACCTGGATTTCACAGCCTGCTGAACTGCTGGTATTTGTCCACTATTCACGTCATGACTTTTCTGCTGTCTGACCCTATTTACATTTGTCTGAGGAAAAAAAAAAAACAACTTGTGATTGACCAGAAAAGGTTAACAGGATGTGTGCCACGGGTAGACAGGAAGTACCGCAGGGTTATTAACCTGCAGCCCGGTTTGATTTGATGACCTCTAGCAGAAATCATTTTAGTGTGCTTAGTGACTAAAATGCGTTTGCTTTCCACTCAAAACCTAACATTTGAATCTGTGTCACTTGTTCAATGATCAGTCTGGTGTTCTAGTAGCAAGTTAGAACCAAATAAAACGAGTACTGTAGACATCTGTGAAGTTTACTAAAGATGGCTGTTTGTTGACATTATTAAAACCTGATCGAACCAGAGACGCGTTGATCCTGAGGTTCCCCACATTCTAAAGTTCGGAAAACACTGCGAGTAATTTTCTTGTATTTGAATGCGCACTTTGTTCGCTATTAATATTCCCGTTTAAATAATTGTATTTTCTAACATGTTTAAAAGTCTTCTTTTTTTTCTTCATTAATGCATGTAATCAGAGGCTATGAGTTGATCAAGCATCTCGAGTATCATACTATCATCAGTACTCCTCCAGAGGCAAACATGGCTCTCCCACTCACCCACAACACGAGGGGCGACTCCAAGAAGGCTGCCAACAGCTCGGAAAGAGTCCCATCCATGGTGCCTGGGCCTGGATCCCTGTTGATCAGTCAGTCGAAGCTGGCGGCAGGTCTCCACGCTGGACAGAACAAAGCCGCCGCGAGGCATTCACCTCCCCCGGATGAGCTTTCTCTCACACACTATTGTTTCGCGCTGTCCCAGTTCCCTCGACGCATGGTTAAATATTCCAAAACGCGCCGAACTCGTTCAAAGCCGTTCAGCATAGTTCAAAGGGGTGCTGCAAGTATTTAGAGTGTTTGAAGTGGTCAAATACACAGTTTTTTCCACGTCTTTGGCAAAACACTTGATGTAATCCAAACTTCGACAGGACAGTCCCTCGCGTTGTCAAGTATACAACACTCGGCCGTAAAGCAGCAAAAAAATTGAGTGAAACGGAAGAAGGCAAGAAATACATTCAAAGTGTAATAAACACGCGCACAACAATACTCCTAACGTGTCAACTTCGTTTTTTCAGTTTTTTTCCCCAATTTGAAGTTATTTCCACACCCCATCCACACGCTTCTCAAATTATGCACTCTAAACCGACTGGCGAGTGGGTGGCACCCAGAAATGTGATTGATGTGACTATTTCGTCCAATCCCATACTAAAAATCCACAGACTCCGCCTTTTAGGACGAATTAACCAATTATTAGTCCGTAATTCAGTAGCGTTTCCCTTTTAGAATGACGTCGGCGCCAACAAAACCAAACAATTCGGGGGAGTGTTTCTTGGGAACGTTTGTATTTTTATTACTCGTTGTAAATAGTCGTATCTACTGCATGCGTACATTGTAAAACTATTGTATTTTTTTACCCCAAGTTGATGAAATGTTCCAATAACATTTGTCACGTTGTTTCAAACTAATTTAATGGAAATCGCAAAGAGCACCACACTCAGTGACAGTTAGGTGCACTCGGGGGAGGAGCCAAAGCCACCTCTTTTTCCAACCCCCCAGGCCTCCCCATACCAACGGTAAACATTTCATGTCTGTGATTTTTCTGCTATTTTCACATGAACGCAGTATTCTTAGAGCCTTTGATACTCTGCCACACGTTTTTTTATATACTAACTGCATATTTACAGAATAAACGTACAACTGATCTGAATCTAAACTTATGTAAAGAACACTCAATTCTTATAGCAAACTTAAATGAAAATAATTTATTTCACACTACAGCAAGCAAAAAAACATGGCAGAAAAGTAATTGTTTAATCATACCATCCACATTCATGGTTTCATGAAATAAAGTGCACACATATAACAATCTTTCCTCCACACTCATAATACAAGCAGTAGCAAAACTGAGAAAAAAATCTAACCTTATAATTGCGAAGAATGAAGACACCGTTATGGCATTGTGCTTTTTAGATATGATTTGCCATTGATTGTAGAATGCAAAATGGCGTCTGTGACAATCGATCACTGTGATTGACTGTTAGCTATCAAATCAGTGCATGGGATTGAAGTAGACAACACAACATAACAAGCAACTTCACAGCAAAGAAAATGGCATGATCTATTAAATAAAGATCAGCAAAATGTTGATTTTTACTTCCTATTACGCCTGCTTGATTACTAGTGTGATGGGCATTGTCCTGGATATGTCTGAATTTTATTTCATGAAACCCTGACTGTGGATCCGACGATAAAGAATGATGGTTCATGCACAGCCTTGCCTAATTGGCTACCCCTCACTGAGGTGTTGTGTGTAACCCTGGCAACCCCCCACTGTGATAATTCTGGCTAAACCACTGGGTGCACTTGTTTGCGTTCCGAGCAGTGTTTAAAAATCACTGGCAGTGTGAGTGGTGATCTTTTCCCTTCATATGCTCCCTGTGATTGACTAGTGACAAATTCAGTTCCTGCAACCCAAACAGGATAAACAGAGCATGGATGGTAAACAGAATAATGTTTAATATATTAATAAAATATTCACTATGTCATGTGGATTTGTAGCTCAAAAATGCCCCACATGTTGGACATGGCAAAGGATCAATATAAACAATATAATTTGATATAACATAATCGTTCGCCTGAAAATCACCCACTTGAACATATTTCTAGTACTGCAATTCCTTGAATTTTTTTTTAATTTGTTCTCCGAGCACAGCAGTGACTAAAGTTGAAGTTACTTAATCAGAAACGACTCCAAGTACCTAGATGAACGTGAAAAGTGTTTGAGTAGGTGGACTTCCGTGGGAGCTGGTGACTTCTTTCGTACGTCTGACAAGGAGAGAAGGATGGAACGTGTTCGCTCAAGCCGTCATTCTTGAAATTCGTTGGACAGCAGCGTTATCAAGTGGAGATTTGATGTTACTACAAGACAGTTATTTTGGGAGAGCGAGGAGGGACAAACTTGGGACACCCATCATCCATCCATTCTCTGTAATGCAGATAAAGTGTCTTGCAAAAGTATCTCCCCCTTGGACTTTTTGCCACATTTCAGGCTTCAAACATCAAGATAAAAAAAAATAACGATTTTTTTTTGTGTGAAGATTCAACATCAAGTGATACACAGATGTGAGATGGAATGAAATTCATACGATATTTCAACCTTTTATTTTAAAGAAATAAAATAAGTGTACTTTATTAATTTCAGGATGTGCAATATTATTCAGCCCTTTTACTGTCAGTGCGGCCAACTCTCTAAGCGGGATACACCCTGAACTGGTTGCCAGTGTAGTGGGAATTTGACATTTAACAGTGTTATACTTAACTGTTAACTTGTATCATTGTATTACCTGATAATGCTATCTGTAAATGCTGCTCTGCAAAGTTGGTTGCTATGCTAACTTGTCATTTTCCTATAAGTCAGACTTCAACCCCTCCCAAGAAGAAGAAAATGCTATGAGAGGGGCCGAAATGAATGCATCCGGAGGCTGAGAAGAAAGTTATGACGGAAAACAATATAAAACACTTAGACTTGCATTGCTTCTCAGATTTACCCATATGTAAAGCATTAAAATGATTCAAAATATAGAAGCCAGTCTTTTTTTTTTAAATCAACTATTTGTTTATTGTGAATAACAATAGAAAATGACAGCTTTTTTCTTAAGCATGTGACATCAAAATAAACTAAAGGTGGCATCAATTAATTTTACATTCAATACTCAAACCCACTTCTCCGCACCCCCACCTCATCCTGGACCTAAAGTAGGGAGGTGAAGTAGGAGAAACCTGTAATCCTATTGGTGGACTTCATACACCCATTTTCAATACAACAAATATATAAATGCTCTACACGGTGAGAACAGCCATATTGTGTCAGGTCATAATACTTCATTGTCCTCTGAGACATTTTTATCCACTCCCATCCAGACACACAAAATGGAATATATTTGGCAACTGGTGCCCTTTCGGAATGCAACAATGTACCTTCATGCTTTCTTTACAGCCCTTCACTCCTCAAGGCTCATTGGTCATTTACATGATAATGTGATCAGACGGGACAGAGTTGAAGGTAAGTGAGAACATAAAACAGTCAGCCAAGAATGTGAATATCAAGTGCTGTGTTCATATTATTAATATCAAAAGGACGCTGTCAAAACTACATGCCCAACCGGTCAGTCATTCGAGTTCACAAGGCTGCGGTTTGGGAGCTATCAATCACCACCTCCAGTATCGTTAACACGTGTCACATAGCAGTACATGTACAGTCTTGAATTTGTATTCAATGTTTGTGTATATTAACAGATCCCAATAGTGATTTTCACATTTACTACTAAATAGGCCTCATCAATAGGCGTGCTCAGGACATCGGCCAAGCCAGTACTTCATTATAAAAACAAACAACAAATAGGTGGAACTAAAAAAAAAAAAATCTGTGTACATGGATTCTTCATACCGCACCAAGTAAAAACAATTCACTTCAATAATTTATATATTCAATTATGATGGTTGAAATGACAACAGGATGAGGTCATCGCAAGAAAAAAAAAATTGCCCTTAAAAAAATGCATAAAAATGTTGAAGGTCCATGTTTTGGTGCCATCAGGAATGATTACTGTGCCAGACAGCACAAAAGCGTGACAAATAGAGGACAGTGCAATATAGTGCAGAATCTGTTCGGTGTTCAAATGAATGCTTTGTGTGACATTAATCGTGTAAATACACACATGAACTTGCTTTCATTACTCTTGGCAACTGACTAAATCCACTGTTAGCAAATCTTTCATTCTGACATCTTCTATGCAGCATCAAAGTAAAATGCAAAGAATACAATGATTTAAGGAGTCTTCTAATCTGACAAAGCTTTTCATTTACAGTAAGTATTACAGCTTTGATTGGAATGTGACTGGATCAGTGGAGGTAGTATGTAGTGATTGCGAGTTCACTTGACACCAACAACTATTTCTCCAACAGTGCCCTAAGTACCTTGTAAATGATACAGCACCGCTGAATGAATAGTCCGGGCACTGTGTACTTACGCTATAAAAAAATTACATACCGCACAGCGCTTGAAAAAAAGTATCGGATCACCACCACCTACTTGTTTCGGGTGCTTTATTGTGGATTCTTTCGATTTCAATGTGCTCTTATGTTAGTATTTTGCAGCGAAATGAGGAATTTCTCATAGTAGTTCAATTGATCAAGCATATTTTTCAATCACTAAAACGTTTTTTTTCTATTCGGAAATGCAAGTCATTCACTATGACTTGACATCTTGTTAATTAAATATCGCCATTTTTAAAAAGAAACTACATTTGAAAATTCATGAATATTCAGCAAAGTGCTACTATAACATGCCCTCAAAAAATATCTCGAGCAGCAGTGGCATAAACCTTTCATTAGGTGGTGGAGTATCGAATTTGTTAAGCACCGTATGTCTGTCTGCACGTGCGTGAGAGAAAGAGAGATTGAGAGAGCGAGAGAGAATGTCAGCGCAACCAGGAGCAGGGCACCCACTGGGGTTCTGTGTCCAGTTTGTTGATGAGTCTTAGTAGCTCGCCGTAGGCTTTGTCCTGGTCTGTGTTAACTATGATGGCGTCAAACAGGTGACCCCAGCTTTGCTCCATCTCCCGTGCTCTCTCAATGATGTCCCGTAGCTCCTCGGGCTGTCCCAATCACAAAAATTAGGATTAAGAAGGCTCAAAGCCACATGCCGCAAAAATTAAATTGCCAAATTTTTCCACAAACAGGTGAACCGGCACCTTGGGGTTCTTATGGTCTTTCGCCAACAAGGCTCTGAGTCTTTCTTGGGAAGGCGGTGCTATGAAGATGATGTATGGTTTTAAATCTGAACTCCTCAGCACCTTTAGGGCCTGCACACACACACACACACACACACATTTCAATTAGACTAAACCGATAACTCAAGAAAAAAACTACATTTTCATGTACATGTATGTTTAAGTACAAAAGTTGGTAGTTTAAAGCCGTGCATGAACTTTGCTGCTTGTGAGTGCGTGTGTATATACACACCAACCTGAGTATGTAGACAAAGTACACATATTTTCCCAGTGTTGATGACCTGTCTCACTGAGTCCGTGCTGGTTCCATATAGATTCTTCTCAAACTCGCCGGACTCAATCAGCTTGCCTAAGAAAAGTATTGAGGGCGCACAAACACAAGTGTCCAGGGGTGGCATGAGATTTGGCACTGCACACTTAGGGAAAGTGAATTCTAACATGTTTTTACATGGCAAAAATGAGTACACACCAATAAAATTTAGCAACGCTAAATTTTAGAAGAACTATTTTTAAACCACAACAATTCCACTCATGTGAGTCTAGTCTAATCATCAACTTTTTGAAAATATGAGACTTTTAGCCTATTTTAATGGGATTTCAACTCCCGTATTTTCTGCACTTTAAGGCGCTTCGGATTATAAAGCACACCTTCAATGAATGTACTATTTTAAAACTGTTTCCATATATAGGGCAAACTGAATTATAAGGCGCATAAAACAGAAGCTACAATAGTGGCTGCGATTGCGCTATGCATACACTAGATGGTGCTACGCTAAAGGCAATACAACACAGCTTTATTTATACAGAGCCTTCAAAACCGCTGCAGTTGTATTAAAACTAAGAGAACCGGCCACAAACACGGACATGAAACATAAATACAAATGGCATTACAAAACATTAAATGAAAGACAAAAGTTATGAAGACAATTGATTCAACAAAAACGTGCACAAACCAAAAGGGGCTAAATATCCTTAGAAGTCTTGCTTGTCTCCTTCCTTCGTTTGTCATTAGTTAACTATGCTTTTGGTATTATCTTCGTTTCATAATGGCTGCACAGATGCTCACAAAGTAGTCTGAGTGTGTTTTGGCGACTGCACATGTCAAGTAGTGTCGGGGAGAACCCTTTTCGATTACAACTGGTTCTTGCTAATAACCACTAGACGGCATAGGAACACTGACAGGAAAACAAGTCAATGGGGAATATAAAGAGATTGTAACTCCATACATAAGGCGCATCGGATTATAGGGTGCGCTGTTGGCTTTTGAGAAAATTGAACGCTTTTAGGTGCACCTTATAGTGCGGAATATACGGTAATTCTTTTCGATTTAAAATGGTAGCATGAAAGCTTACCAGCAGCCAGCTCGGTCTCAAACATCTGACGAGAAACAAAATGATAATCTCGACCACCGAGCTCTACATCTCGCCGGCTCCGCGTTGTGTCTGCAACACACAATCTCAGGTGGGTATACAGGACAAACGTTGCACGAGTGCTTGTTTGAGTGTTAAAGTCTCACGAGGTACAGCCCCAGCAAAGCGTTCAGGGTGGTTATTCAGAAGTCTCTGACGAAGCTCGCCCTGCCCACAGCTGGTTGGCCCAATCAATGCTATTGGCCGCTTCCGATTGGCTGGCTGGTGGTACAGGGCCATCTCCTCATAGGTCAGAATTTCCTCATCAATATCTAGGCCAGTTGGCAAAAGGGGAGACAACAAAGAATGGTGATACAGTGTTTCATCTATGACGTGCTTATTGCATGCAGTTTGTTACCATCATTTCTCTGAGTGTTGTAAAGCAGCTTCTTTCTCTTTCTCTTGTTCTTTTTGGCACACCACAACTTTCCTGGAAAAAAAAGACCATAAAAAAAAAACTTGCATTAGAAGAGCCAAAAATAATGACAATACATTTTTTCCCATTTTAATTCAACAGTCTGTGCTTTACGAGTACAGTAAAACCTCAGTTTCCGTCCATAATCCATTCCAGAAGGCTGTTCGAAAACCGAAACACACTCTTTAAAAAAAAAAAAAGTTGATTGAACACGTCTGCTCACAATGGAAAGCGACACGAGGAAGCGTCACTTCCTCGTCTACCCGAGGAAGCGTCATTTCCTCGTGTAAGGAAGGCGAGAGGAGTCAAGTGGTGCATTCAAGTGCGCTCAGTTTGTTCAAGAACCGAAATTTGTTCGTCATCCTAGGCATAAAACACTCGAAATTTTTGGTCGAAAACCGAATTGGTCGAGAACCGAGACGTTCGAAAACCGAGGTTTGACTATTTTTCTTTTTCAATCAAATGTCAACAATTTTATAACTGAAATGAATGAAACAGCTGAATTAGGTAACAAGAGACTTTGTACTTTCAGTGCCTCAACTACCACACAATTGCCAGTGGGAAGCGGGCCCTCGCACAAGAGGCATGGCTTTCTCTATGTATCGTCAACAGACATATTTTATCATATGCACTCCACATGCTGACCTTCAACAGTCTGTCAATTTCGTTCATGAATGTGTGCGACATATTTGATCTTTCTGACCGGGCAGAAAAGCAACTGAAAGTGCACGGTGGCGGAAAGAGAGTACCGGTACCACTCAGGCGCAATGTGAAGAAGAAGCTGCACAGCGCTTTTCCCAAAGAGCAAGGATCACCAACCTTTTTGAAACTGAGAGCTACGTCTTGGGGACTGCTTAATACAAAGCCCTATTCGTTGATCAAATTACCTTTTAATAATAGTATCATATGCATGTATGATTACTAATGATATGCATATATGTGAAGACACTGACAATGTCTATGATTTCATACAATAATTAGGGAAAACACAAGTATTAACGTGTAAGTCTGTTTCTATAATTCTGTGCCAGGGTTGAAGTGTTTATATTTTCAAATGATAGCTCCTACAACATCCCTAAAAAACCCCCAATGCCCCATCATTTGTAAGCTATTTTTAGAACGAGCCAGGCTACTTATGCGATCCTTGGGGGTGACCTGGTGCCCGCGGGCAACATGTTGGTGAGCCCTGCACAAGTCAATGCCTCATCAGTCATGAACCTCACCGCGCGTGACTGGTGTAAACCACCACAAAACATTTCCTTTTCACAATTCCGACATTTCCATGAAGACAGACCTGACTTCTCAGGCTCTTTGTCTTCTTCTATTGTCTGTTTCATGGCTTCTCTCTGCTGCTGGAAACTCTTCCCTATGACAAAAAAACCCAAAAACAATCGTTTATGATACCGTCAGCCAAAACGCTCAATTACTAAGAGATGTACTTGACAGTACCATAACTTCTATATCTTAAAAAAAAGATTAACGGACCTGGTACCAATCCAGCAAGAGGCTGATTATCTTCATCTCCATCTCTATATGCCTGCCACCAATTGGGGTCAGACTGGCTGATGATGTGGAGAATATCTCCTTTCTGGAAGGACAAGCCCAACTCTCTACATGGCACATAGGGGTCATCTGATGGGTCATAGTCAAAATGTGCTTTCACATGAACCTAAAGGAAATAAGGAGGATGAGTGGGGGTGGGGTGATGCACAGTGAGATTTTGTTCTTCGAGTGTTCACTTATTTGTGAAATTGTCTGATTTAACACACGGGCTGTCTTTGATTTGATTAAGAAATGTTCCCTTTTGTCAGCACAGATTCAGCACTTACTACATTCTCTTTGACTGGGGGAGGTTTGCTCTGAGTACTTGGAATGAGTACAAAGGTCAGCAGGCCGTGCATGTCCGCCTGAAACAAAGACATTTTGCAAATTACTTTTGGATAGTGGGCTTGTTGTTTTGCGCATTTGCTGTGAAGCTGCACATACTAAAATGACTCCCAAGTTAGGCTGATTTTTAATATGCCTTTTTAATCGCTCTTTAAACGCTAAGACAAACTGAAATACATCTCTACGAATTTATTTTGTTCATTTGTACATACTTACTAGAATGTCAAAGACTTGGTTGACATCTTTGCCTTTTATTTCAATGCCATTTATTTCCAATATTTCATCTCCTTCTGCTAAAAGTCCACTGCGTTCGGCTGCTCCTCCTCGAACAATCCTACTGATAATCACACTTTCCATTTCATTCCGGACCGTCGCCCCCTGCGGAAAACAGACAAGACCTGGTGTGAGATGACCGCTGCCAATTTTTCATAATTTTTTTGCATACAGTGTATTCAGAGTATAAAGGTCGTAAAAAGGTCAAGCCAAGAGGGCATCTGTATTGTAGTTGGAAACAAAATAAAGGTCAAATATGAATACAATAGACCCACTTGATCTATAAATAACATGAAAAATATATACACACACACACCAAGATAAATACAATTGTTAGGCTGCAACAGCAGCCACAACTCCGGTATCGTATTGTATCGGTTTGTACTGGATATTAATTGTCTGACCAGTGGTATGTCTCGGGCCTTCTCTATGTGAACAATCTTTACAGTCTCTTCTCCCCATTGTGTCAGTGTCTCTGTTTGGCTGGTCGGTGGTTCTGGTTCCATTTCTTTCTCTGCGATGCGGTCATGTGCCAGAAGCAAAGACTGCAGCGTAACGACATAGACACATCATAGGAACATACACACAACAACTACCAAATTATTATTTTAGACTTGATAAAGTTGAAGAAGTTGTGGAAAGCTTTGAGTCTTCACCTGGAGGCGAATGTCTGATAGGAGACTGCAGAGTTCCAGTCCTTCTTTGTTCTGACATGTCTGGCTGAGATTTCTGACCTGAATCAACAACAATAAAATATTACAGACTGAATTTTTTTTTTTTTAACGTTGCAAAATAAGATTTGCTTTTGGTGTGTGTATAAATGATTTCTTGTTTCTAATAAATTTTCCACAATTATTACACAACGTGCCCCACCCCTGGAGTGATGTTATGATGCAGGAATATGAATGTATTTGTCAGGGAGGCCAGCTAATGCTGTGAGGCAGTTCATTCAGTAAACCTCACTATTCTCCAGTGCCTTAAGAGCTGCAGTAGCCACTGGCCTAGGAATCTGGGCTTTTAGCCTACAAGGCTAGTGCGCTCACCTCAAAAGAAGTGGGCACCGAGCCCAGGGCTGGTTCGTACAGGATGACCACCACCTATAGTGGTGCTATGGCCCAGATTGAGAGTAATGTTTCCGGGGGTGAGTGTACCGGATGCCAGCTAGTGCTGTGCTACAATATGAAGTCAATCTCACTCCCTGACGCCTTAAGAGCTTTTAAACTACTTGGATAGCACGCTCAACTCTTACACTGTGATCTCGGGATCAAGCACAAGTTGAACAACCACAAGTTAGAAATTACCTCCAGTGCCAGCTGTAGTGCCTGGTGTGTTTGTGGGTATGGGGGAGAGGGTCTGTGCATGTTGTTGGCCACTGCATTATGGATCTTAAGTGCAGACTGGAACTCTGACTACAAACAAAGGGGACAAACATTTAGTGACAGAAATAGGTAAAAACACGAGCGATGTTCTGCTAACTAAAAAAGGCATTTCAGCATACATTGTTACCCCACTATATCCTCTTGGTTTTTACAATTACACAGGGAAGTTCAAATTTAGTGCAGTACCACTTTCTAGGGTGTACTGAAGTCTACTGAAAGTGATGCAACATAAAAGGAAAAAAAAAAACAAAGGAAGGTTGAATTTGAAAGTGGAAACATTTGATTTGGTTCGAGTCAGTGGGACTACGATTGGAAATGGTACGGCATAGTCTGAGAAGGTTTGATGCAATGACTTTTTGGTTGTCATGTGACATACATTCTATTACACAATGTATCTAATACTATTACCATATTTTTTGCACTATAAGGCGCTTCGCAGTATAAGGCGCACCATCAATGAATGGCTCATTTTAAAACAGTTTTCATATGTAGGATGCAACGCATTATAAGGCGCAAATAGAAGCACCATTAGTGGCTGCCAGTTGTTCCCACAGAGAAGAGAGAATATATGCCTCAAAAACCGATAGTGCGCTTTATAATCCGATGCGCCTAATTCAAAGAGCCTGTAACTCTACTTATATTCCCAATGGAGTTGTTTCCCTATGCCATCTAGTGGTGATTATTAGCAGGAACCAATTGTAACCTAAAAGGGTTCTGCCCGACACTAATTGACATGTGCAATCGCCAACACCCACTCAAACAAACAGACGACTACTGCAGTGGTTGTTAAGGCGATATATAAATAAAGCTGTATTGTATTCCTTAAGTGTAGCAGCCACTATTGTATGGGTTTATTATGCGATGCGCCCTATATATGAAAACAGTTTTAAAATAGGCCATTCATTGAAGGTGCGCTTTATAATCTGAAGCGCCTTATAGTGCATAAAATACAGTACTCGCAAATGTTTGCCATTAAGTGGGATAGGGGCTTACGTGGAGGTGGGGGGGGGTCCCTTTAAAGGGGGAAGTGAAGTCAAAAATGTTTTTTACAATAATATGTTGTATGGGCACCCATGATGTCTAAACACGACAGTATGATTAATAATCCAGCCATCTTCTATGGCAAAAACTTTATGGCAAAGACTGTGCGAACCAATCCCTGTTATTTTTGAGGTCTCCATATCTAGGACCAAGTATTCCCCTTGAAATTCCCCATCGATTACCTTGTTAAGTAGTGCAAGGACCAGCTCTATGTCATTCTGACTCTGCTGGTCGGATAGACAGCCCCGGACTTGCTTCAGTGACAGCAACAACTCATCCAACTCTGCAAGAAAAACACATTGCCATTACAATTCTTCGCCTTAACCATCTAAGCAACGGATTAGAGTTATTTCATCTTCTTGTCCACGGTCAGAATGAAAATATCGTCTTGCGCTGGCTTCACATTGACTGTCCCATTTCACAGTGAAGAGCAGAGCATAGACAAACATTACAGTCCCCAAGAGATTTAATTAAGTTGCTTCCAGGAGTGTCTCATGTCTGTCTCTCCCTCCCTGTGGAATTCCCTCCCACATGTTCTTCCTTACATTCCTTTCACTCCAAGCTTTACTTCCTCTTTTGTCACTCTCCCGTTTCATAAACAGGTTCAATGATGTTCGCTCCAAAAGTGGAAAAACTTTCACTACTATTACTTTATGTGCACTCGCTGAAGTTTGTGTGCTCATACCAAGCAAAGTGTGCTGACTGCTCAGTGGTGGTTGCTGTGACGTGTGTGTGTCCTGAAGGAATGTGGGGTTGTCGATGCCAATGTGAGGATTCTGGGAGAGCTGCTTCAGCCTGAGTGAAGCATTCAGATCCAGCTGCCGACCTTCCTCCTCTCGACGTCGACGCAAGTCCTCCTAGCAAAAACAGACAAGTCAAGCAGGCCAGATTACAGGATGTCTGGTTTCTAATCGACAGGCTCTTTAAAAACCAGACAAATCAAAAAAGTCATTTCTGGATTGATCAAGAATGAAATCAGCAATTGCTCGACAGAGCTTGGTAAACTCTTTTGTGCAGACAACCACATTACCTGATGTTGTCTTATTCTCTCGAGTTGAGCAGATCGCCGGACTGGCAGTGTCCGGCTCCCCAGTTCTCCCGGACAGTCGACGGCCATTTCCCTGTGCTGCTGTCCTACCCTCAGCTCTTCATCTCCTCCTCTTCCTCCTCCTTCTCCAGCAACATGTCCATTCAGATGAGAGGTTGTCATCCCTCATACACTTGGAGTCACTAGTGTGTATGCCCACAGATTTCAGGGTTGCCCAGGTATAAGTCACGATACAAGGATTTCTAGGAGGGTAGCTCCGTAAACAACGCAGCCATGTTGCCTATACCTGCGGAGAAAGCAGACGCCTCAAAGATTTAACTTCTTTTTTTTCCATTTTGTGATTAAGTACATTGAGGTGAAAATGGTGATGATTGTTGTTCTTAAAACATTCAAACCGAAACAATGTAATCAAAAGTAAAGGAACTACTGATGTCTCAAAATACAAAGTACATTCATCAGCATATGACAAAACCCTAATAACTCATAAACAGAAAGGGAATGGACTAGCGTTTTATACAGGTAAATGACTCCTTGTAGATTTTTCTCCATATGGCCCCTGAGCTAAAATGAATTTGACGTCCCTAATCTAAAGCGAGGGTGTCAAACTCAGTCTCCAGGGGCTCCAAACTCAAAGCACAGTTTTGGTAGTGTGCTGAACAGGATAAACATTATTGATAAGTTTAAAACTAAACGTTCATAACAATAATATGCATCAAAAGAGACAGTATAGAACAGTCGTTTGTGATTGACCAATAGCTTGCGAAGGGGGTGTCAGTTGATTGCATAGCATTAACTCACTCATTGCCAGCCCTCCCTATGTTATATTATTATTTTAGCTACCTGCCAATGACAGTGAATGAGCCCATAAAAAACAAACAATATAAGAAGATTCCCTCCTATCATCCATTGCGAACATACAAGGCAGCCACTTGCCTGTTGCATGACTCACCGCGCATGCGCATACAATGGCGCTAACTGGCAAAACTAGCACCTTCCGTTTATTTCTGCCGACTCTACACTTAATCCAGTATAAAAATGATTAGGACATAGTAAGCAAAGTATTTCCAGACAGTTTTTATTTTTTATTGCGGTGAACTCGGTGGCAGGGCGTCCGGGGGGACGCGGGTGATGCACTCGGGGACATGCTTGCGGTGCAGCTGGTGCTGGGGAATGAAGCGCTGGGCGGAGAAGCCGCCTACCCGACTGCGAGTGCCCTCCGATGCCATTTGGCGGCTGTCATTTGGAGTCGGTCCACCCCTGGGTGCTTGCTGGCCAGCCGAAGCAGGACATGCGGAGTGGCATTTTTGGGCTATTGATTGACTTAACTTGTTTGTTCTTTTATCTCTGGCAATTTTTTTAGGCTGTTATTTAGCAGACGTTTCAGCGAAAGTCTCTCGCCTCCTCAAAGAGTGTCACATGATGGTGTGATTCTTCTTTATCAGCTGATGTTAATGCAGGCGTGATTGACCTGTCAGATTTGACAGGAGAGTCAGGCCCCCAACTTGACTGATGTTCATTGGGAAGTGTGCACATGGGTCGCTATCAGCAGCTCCTGTCCGGACACCCTGGCTGATTCCATTCAGCGCAAGTTATCAGAGTAAAGTAAGGACAGGAAATGTATAGTCGCTGTATTGTCAAATTTGTGATTGATAAAGTCGTAGCTTTGTTCATTTTATAAGGAGCTTACATGCAGAAGAAGTGTGGGCATTCCTGGTGTAGAATATTATTCCATTTTTTTACACGACAAAAATCTAATTCAAAAGAGCATGCTGAAAAAAACTGCAAATATAGAAAAATGACATAAAAATACAAATTCAAAACCTTCAAGCCTTACACACACACACACACACACACACACACACACACACACACACACACACACACACACACACACGCGCAGGAGGGACAGTACATGTCAACAGAAGGTGAAAAGAAAAAAATAAAAAGGTGGAAGAGGGATTGATTACTTATCTTAGTCACAACCACCACAAAAGCATGTTTGATATGTTATCTCTCACCAGCAGGGCCGTGTATTTGCACGTGTACACGCACGCACGCGCGCACACACACACACACACACACACACACACACACACACACACACACACACACACACACACACACAATACTCAGATCCCATGGTGCAGGAGTGAGGAATGTCAGGCAGTCCTGGGAACAAAATTCCACGGCTGGGGGAGGGAAGTGTGTGTGTACAGTGCTGCGAAATAGTATTTGGCCCCTTCCTGATTTCTGTGTTCTTTGCATATGTATCACATACAAAGGTTTCAGTTCATCACACTAATTTTAACATCGCACAGACACTACCCAAGGAAATACAAAATGCAGTTTCTACATGCCAATTTAAGGTCCAAAAAAAAAAAAAAAAATCCAAAACTACCTGTCCCTACGTGAAACGTAATTGTCCCCCCTGTTAAATCACACAGTAACTGTGACTAACGACAGTTTTGAGAAAGGTGAGTTCAATTTCACAGGCAACACTCTAGCAGCACCTTTGTTGAGAAATCACATTCAGAGAATGTGTCAGACAAAGTGAAGTAGGCTACAACATCTCAAGAAACAAACACATCCTTCCCATGATCCAGAGAAATTTGATAAGAAATTAGAAAAAAAGGTTTTTGACATCCATCAGTCTAGAAACGGTTACAAAGAGACTTATTTCCAAGTCTCCGGGGCTTCAGCAAACCAGCGTCAGAGCTATTATCCACAAATAGATAAAACTGGGAGCAGTGGCAAAAATTCCCAGGAGTGGTCGATCAGCTAAAATAACTCCATGAGTGCAAGGAAGACTCATCTAGGAGGTTGCAAAAGCACCTAGAACAACATCCAAAGAACTACAGAACTTGCTAGCCTCAGTTCAGGTCAGTGTTCCCGACTCTGAAAGACACTCGCCAAAAATGGCATCCATGGGAGAGTTCCTAGGCAAAAACCATTGCCGACACAAAGGCTCATCTCACATGTGCCAAAAGACATCGATCCAGAGACACTTCTTCATATGGCAGCGTAACAACAAATTCCGGATCCCTTTCAATGTTTTGGAGTGCAAGGAGTTAGGAACTATGCAATTAGGAGACTTGAGATGAATCCTTAGTCCAGCGGTCCCCAAACTTTTTCCTGTGAGGGCCGCATAAGCTTTCGCTTCTGTGATGTGGGGGCCGGGGTCAGTCTGGAACAGAAAAAGGGTGGCCGCAAGAGTACGGAAATGTAAAAATGGATTGTTTTCCAGAAACCCACACAAAATGAAGCCGCCTCTTGACAGATGAGACTGATAGACGTTTCTTTGCGCTGAAAGAAACAAAAACATCGTTTGTCCACTTTGGGTTAAATACCCCGCATTCTATTTTTCTCTTACTGAACCTTTTCGCCATGATCCCGTTCTCTGAGAGAGGGGCCGGTTTCGGATTTTTTTTTTCTGGCGTTGCCAGATAACGGCACAGAAATATGCACCAAATGTCACCTTATTGTATCTGTGTTTATGAAATAGTTACTAATTAATAGTTAATCATGAAAACGGTTCAGAACTAAGGAACATTTTATTGCAAAAGCCCAACTTTATGATCAAAGACAAATCCACATCGATGAAAAATAAATCAAAATACTCTGTGGTATTTTCAGGGGGCCGGACCAAATGCGGAGGCGGGCCGGATCCGGCCCGCGGGCCGTAGTTTGGGGACCACTGCCTTAGTCTGTCGGCTGGCCTTGTAACCCTTTGAGATAACCCTGGAAGAGCTGCTCATGGAGATGGAAGTTTGGGGCCTCTCTGCTTAGGCCACTGCCCTTGCAGCCCGACCCCGGATAAGATGGATGCATGGATTGGCAGACATTCATTGTGTTCACATTGAAGCAGATTGTCGGTGGTGCATATCAATCACAACGCAAATTTTAAAATGACTCGGCAGAGAACAGACCTGGTCCACCCAGAATTTTTTTTTTTTTTTTAACACTGTCATATTTGTTCTTGATACAAAGGAGCAACATTGAGCAAGACAGTTGTAATACAAAGATTCACATCTGTGCCCATTTGCAGTTTGGCTTTTCAATATGTTTATAAGAGGTGCAAAATATGAATTCTGACTCGCAAATTGCATTGTGAATCTGCTTATTTTGAGCCTGCTTTTGTCCATCAAATACAGACACAGGGTTACAAATCTGCACTTGAGTAATCTGGAGTTGGAAGCAGAAACAGAGGCAAACCTTATCAGGGTATGACGCACAGACGCACGCACGCACAGATGCACACAGACACACACAAACTACCGAAAAGGGTTGTACAACCCTGTACCAAGCAAAGCGAAAGCAAGCCTGGATATAGAAGAACAGAATAGTATAACTACATTTCCTTTGATACCTTTTAGGCACTAATTTGTGCTTCAATATCAATAGGCATCTGATCAATATCAATAGAAATTGCTCAATATAAAGGTTTAAAAACTAAAATAATTTAGGAAGCAAACACTGGCTCTGGCATTCTGCGTGCTGTAATCAGAGTTTAAAGTGTGACATTAGATTTGTGCCACAATTGCAAACACCAAAGAGGAAATTTAGAGCACAAAAGCATAATTTGAGTGCACGGGAACCTTTCCTGTGAACCTTGTCGGCCGAAACAGTGAGAAATATGTGGCGAACCACCCAAGAAGTGCACATACTGTAATTAAGTGCACTTCAGTGTGTAGGTACGCCGAATGAAAGTGTGGCCTCTTCAAAATAAATGCCTCAGTGCAACTTTGACAATAAGATTGTATTGTGCATACTAACACAATCAAGCACGTTTGGATGAATACGTGTTTGAGAAATAAAGGACTTGCTCGCTCCAGTTTTGCCCAGCTACGACCCTCTCAGCGTCAGAAATAACAGACAAGTTTAAAAACTAAAAATGTCCTCTGACATAATGAGCGAGCTATAAAGATAAAGTTGTACTCAGACAGACGGTCAACTGTAATGCATAATGCATGTATCCCATGAGAGAATTATTGTAGTTCGCTACGCTCACTTGAACAACGAATGAAGGTTCATGCAACTGCATATTGATAACGCTTAATACAAAACAATGCGACACACATATCGAAACAGGAAATGTTACGGGATCCCATACGTCAACGGGGAGGAGTGGCCTTGAAGATATAGTATATTGAATGCATATAATATTACCACAGTCCTGAATTTGAAACTTGACTTGAGATTTGCACAAGAAATATTGTCAAAATTACATGACCATAGAGCTCATCATCTTTTTTTCCAAAATCAATTTCTGTCACAAACATTATGTTTTAGGTTTATAAATTACATCTACATCGGAAATCTCAGTTTGTGCAAAAATATGGGGGCTACTGTGTTTCTGATTACATTTGACAATTTTATAAATCAGCACTACAGGATGCATTTTTTCATTTTAATGTCACTTCAAAATAAAGTGAGAAAATGTCAGCAGTCAGTGTGTTGTGTATTTTTTTTTTTTTTTTACAGAATAACTGAAGATATATCATGCTATATCGTTATTGTGATATAAAGTGTCCTATATCGTGACAACATTTTTCCATATCGCCCAGCACTAAATATACCATGATACTTTGTGCCGGTGAACCAATATGATCACATGACAACAAAATGACTGGCCAAGCCTATTTATTTGTCGCTGTTATGTACAAAACCACAATGTTGTGCTTCCCCCCGCCCACCATGAGCTTTTTTTCCTGACAATATCGTAACTTTTTAGACAGTATTGTGAGCATTTGTATATCGCCAACCTAATACATTGTGAAGGTTGGATATCATTACACCCCTAGAAGAGACTGACCAACATACTGCTGGGTGAATACAGGGCTCAGCTATCGAATCAGCCATCGCTACGAGGAAACACTGAGATGGACAAAAGAAGAGACGATTGTTGGTCCAACACTGGTTTGGTGGCACATTTTGATTTGTATGTGGCCTAATTTTAAGTCTATCAGGGCATGGAGGGAGTGAGAACGAGAGTGAATACAATTTCAGAGAACAGAGGACGTGTGTATTGTGCTGGCCGGTAGCCCATGTGCTTGTGTGCTACTGTAGTTTCATCAGGATCTGTAAATACATTATCAGCCTTGGCCTCATCAACCTCACAACATTGATGAAACGACTGACTGAAAGACGATCATAGTTTCAAATATTACAGAAATGAACAAATATACTATTAGCTCGGGCTGGACGATTAATGTATATTTAATTTGTGATTTCGATTTAGGGTTCTCGCAATCTTCACGTGATAATCGAAGAAAAATGATTCATGTGCAAAACGGCAAGGTGCGTTTACAAGTTCCTGATGTTGTGAAAGGACCTAGTTAAAATGATTCAAGTTGGATCAATGTAGATTTCTTTATAGCTATAAAATTGATATTGATAACCAAATATTCTTTGGTTAGCTATCTATCATTTGAATTAATTCATGATTGAAGAGGCCCAGGTGGTTCAGCTGGTGATTTAGAGACATGGCGGGAAAATGCACAAACAAGTGGAAGGACACCATCGTATGTAGAAAATTGCCCACACACACCCTGACCTTTTCTAAAGATAAGGCGTATGTTTACAGTATTTCTAAGCCACACAGTCATCACATTTTTGTGTCACTTGTGTACATGTAAAAAAACACTTTCTCTTTTCTTTGAAGAAGTTGCAAATTCTTTGGCACAACCACACAAAGGATTGTTTATTATGCACAATTCTCTGCAGTTGCCCACATTACCAATTGCTTATCATGACTCCAAACTGCCCCTTAATGGTCACATTTTGCACCTAAAATTCGAAAGTGCGTGGGTACATTTTTCGACTAGTCGCGCCTGTGTGACTTTACTTGAATATTGCCAAACCAGTATAATTGTGATCAATAGTTTTGCGACATTTAACAAGAATCCAAAGAAATAACACTTATGTAGTGAAAGAAATGCTTTTCTCATGCGGCAAAATAAGCAGGTTGGGTGAGTGTTGTTTGTAGCTAATTAATTGTAATACCTTTTTAAAATTTTAATTTATTTAATTAACAATTTTTAAATATATTTCTTTAAGTTACTGAGGGTGCGTTCAGATAATTCACTCTGACACCCGCGCATTACTCTGAGAGTGTGTGTTTGGAGAGGCAGATTGCACTCTAACCCCGTTAATTTCCAAATGGAGCCTATGTTCTAAACCAATCAGTAGCTCGCGCTTGAATTGTTTTCATCTGCACTGCCTGGCGCACCATATTCTCAGTCAGAGCGGCTAGAGAAAAATGTCCAAAATCTGGCCCGGGGGCCAATTGCGGCCTGTGTTCAAATTTTGACCGGCCGGCAGCCTCTGGCATAAAATTAATAATGTGTGGCCCATCAGCACTGATGACCACAGGAAAAAATACATATGTACAAAAAAGCTATTTTATATCTCACCAGAAGATGGCCACAAACCCGTGGCCACGCTCTTGGCTGCGTACATAAGTCCGCCCCGAGCGTGACCTGGGCCTCCAAAACACACCACTCTCACAGTCATATAACGCGTCACAGCGAATTTCCGAGCACGGCCCTTGCTGCATGACGCTTATGAGACCATTGAAAGGCCATTTCTAAAATAGAGACTGTCATGAAGAAAAGGAAAGTTAATAGAAAGGGACGTCACTTTCACAGTAAATGGAAATTGGTACTTTTTTTTTCACTGAAATATGAAACAACTATGCCTGCCTAATTTGCCAACAGGCTGTAGCTGTTTAAGGAATTCAATGACAAGAGGCCCTACCAGATGAAACATGCAAACTACTACAAGGTGACTGGGAACAAACGTCATGAAAATGAAAGCAACTGAAAGATGAATGGTTGGGCCTCACACATTTTCACCTCACCAAATCTGGATCTCTAGAGCACTCTGAATGACTGAATGGCACATTTGAACAACGCTCTGATTTTCTGAACGGTTGGAGTCCAGCAGTGTGCACTGGGAGTATATTTCCGAACATGCAATTGGTGTTGATAATGCCCCGAGATACTGTTCCAGGTCAAAGTCAGATAAAACCATTCAATTCCATTTGAAACTTGCTGCACGTCTTTTTAATTCATATAATGCAGGGGCCTTTACCGAAATGATTTTTTTTTCCTCGATAAATTGTGCAGCCTTATTTCCTAAACCTTCAAATTTCATTTAAGAGTCGATCGGTAGATAGATAGATAGATAGATAGATAGATAGATAGATAAAATTGGAGACCATGACCCTAGAACAGCACAAAATAAGGTGAATGCCTGGTCCCATAACTGTAAATCGTAATTCATCCAGTGAGCACCAAGCAACAAACCTCCGGTGCTCCTTTTAGAACAAGACCAAAATTGTTGTGTACACCTGGATCTAAATATATAATTACCGAATCATACCACACACAGCATTTACAGTTAGGTAGAGTATTGGGTTAGCCGTATTGTCGACTTCCTATAACGTCATACGCCTCCCTCTGTGGATTTGGCTAATTAATTTCAGCCAATGTAGCAGTTGTGACAGTTGACATTCTAACGTTCAAGATTGAGATGCATGAGTGACACAATTCACTGTTATGAATTCGCCATTAAAGTTATATGCATTTCAAGAATGTTTGAATGTTTCGTGTTTGCCTGGCTTGTTGGGCATCTGTGTTTACTGTAGTTTAAAATACTTTCACCTTGATTAAACGTGTTTCTCGTGTATTTGGGGAGGGTGCGGTGACAGCGAGTTAGTCCCATTCTCAGAAGTTACGCCTTTGCGAACATACCGGTGCTAATAAACGCCATTTGTTTCGAACACTGCTTGGTGACGTTCCTCAACTTTGTGAACAGACCGAAAGAAACTCAGCATTGTGTATTTTTTTAAATTACAGTTTCCAGGCTAAAATTAGCCGCTAACTAGCTAGCTCACTTGCTGCGTCTTTACAGCACCTGTTGATAACAAAAGCCTCTTCATCTGGGGGCGAAGAGTAGACGCTTCAGTACTCACTCGCGCTGTTCCAAGGCCGTCCCACGTTCCTCTGACGAGAACAGCAAGCTTCATCCAACCAGTCGTGGATCTTCTGGCGTTATGTCACAGTTTCGCTCGGACAAGTTCGCTGCTCGATTCTTCTACTCAGCAGCTCGTATGTCTCCCGCCCTCCACGTCGCTCCCCCTCCCCTGTCTGTCCGTCGGTCTGTCATCATTTCCACAGTCACAGAAAGAGAGAAGACCGGCCCGCCCCCCAAGTTGTCAGAGCGGCGAAACGATTGGATAGGGCAATAATAGGAAACGCTGTCTGACCAATCAAGCACTGGTATGTCCGATCAGGGCTCACATCATAATTACGTCACCAGTGCATTGTCTGTCTGAATAAATTATGATATACCACTTGCATTACTTTTCAATTAGGAGCGCCTAGGCCAGGGATGAGCAACTATCTTAATTTAAATAGATAAATGAATACATTTTTGGGACCTTGTGTTAAGCATAAAACCAGTATAGAATTACAGTATTTGCAAACCAGGTGCAATCTGTATTTAATTGAATACACTACAACGACAAGATATTTTATGGTCAAATTGAGAACGTTATATATATATTTTTTTTGCAATACTGTATAATCGCTTGTCTGGCGAGTTGGACAGACATCCACCATCTGCTGGACGTCCGATGCATGTGAAAAATTTAAAAACAAAAACAAAAAGGCGGGAGGGGGGCATGGGGGACTTAAAATGCTAATATTGAATTACATTCCATGCTAGTTCTATGGTCCGTGATTTCAATTGCTTCTCTTTTCAATCCAACTAATATAATTTTTGTTCCCATTAAAACAGCTATATGTGCATATTTCTTATGGAGGATGAGCAGGAAATGAAGCAAAGCACCGCAGACCGGGAGCCTCACCTTAGCATTGCGGACTTAGGCAGTCGGTTTGTGCACCCACACATAAGGTTACCACTCATCCCATCCTGTTGCCCTGGCGAACTTCTCGTACTGTCACAATGTAAATACTGTACCACAAATTGAAAGCTGAAATTTTGTCTGATATCTATCTATTGATCGGGAAACACAACAAAACAACGGAATTGACCTTGCCAGTCCAATACTTTTGGAGAGGACTGTAAATAAAAATTAAATGCTATTCAATAGAGTTGAGATGTATTGCTATATGCTACAATTTAATGTACTTAAGTGCATCTAATAGTAAAAGTGTTGTAATTCATTCATGCAGCAATTGCTTCACTTTCCTTTGCTGCTGCAGCAATGTTACTTAATTTTTTATGAATTATATTTTTAAATCACTATATGTCTGCATTTTCACCCCCAATTCCAAGGGGCTGTAAGCAACAGGTTTCTTTCCATTTCCATAGTGAATTGCCATGTCGGGGCTCCGATGATGTTGTCTTTTGGTTGTGGCCGTACACAAGTTCAGCTTGTGGTAATTAATTGAACTAGTTGAGATCAGCTGTTCTGGATCCAAATGATCTGACTATTTGAGTTCAGGGGAAGTCAAGGTTTAGATAAAGATCATGTTGAACCTTACTGGAATGTCCCCCAGGTGTAACAATGCATGTCCCGTCTTACAAACACGAGAAAGTATTCTTTAAAAAAATTAACAAAATAATTAATACACACAACTTATATTTCAGACTAAACAGAACTGGAACAAAACAAGGGATACAGAATAGTCAGGATTAATTTTATTAATTCATTTTCAGTTCAATAATATCATTACAGAAAAACAATTTACATGATATTTTATACAGTAATAGAATGCTGTGTAATTGCTTCAAGTGCTGGTCATAGTTTATAGTGTGTGCAATGTGAGACTGATTTCAGTCAGGTGTTAAGAATCACTCAGTACAAAGGCAGTAATAACCTGCTTCTTACTCCAATCAATCTGTCAGGCTTTGATTCCGCCTGTTTGGGCAGGTGCCTGGAAGAGCTCATAATCCGTGTTCAGGTCATAACGGTGTTAATGTAAATATAAATTGCGCAAAACCTGGCAGGTCTTTTCAGTGAACTTTTTTTGTTCTAATATAAGTTAACTTCTACTTATTTATCGCACACAACCATTGAGCAAGCTAAAGTGAGATGTCATTCTCACTCTCACTTTCCTCCAGTCTGCCCTCTACACTATGATATGAACGCAGCATGAGGCCCCAATATAAATATGATGATTTTGAGGTATCAGGGACATTTCTGATATACACACACTACAGGGTTAAGTAAGGATGGTCCAACATCATCTTACATATAGTACAATCAAAATAAACACAAGCACAAATGAAGCATGAACATTGGAGAGATATCCTGCCCACATATGGCAACCTGCCCAACGTGTGCGCCACGCCCCTCATGAGAGCTTGGGGGGAGGCAGGAATTAGTTTGAGGAATTTCGGGCGAGGCTGAGCGAAGACCACAAGAGGCAGTCAAGAGAAGGGTCCAAGCTCCAGCGCTCGTGCTGCATTCATGTCACAAATGACGATGGTAACATGAACTTCTTTTTTATTAAAAATAAATAAATAGATAAAATAAAAACAAAAATCGCATTCTGGACCTTTGGGCAAGTGAAGCAAAAACAATTACGAGAAGCATCCATTCATGAAAAAACATCAACAAGCAACTTGGTGCCGTCACTATATTCATCAAACGAAAAATACCTGTGCAACAAACTTGCTTTTCTCCTACCATCAGAATGCAGCATTAAACCTTTTGGACGGCTTCGTTTGGCACTGATCACACTGACAAGAAGAATCACAAACTTTTGGAGCAAAGTTAGGGCGAAGGGTGAATATCGATTGCTTACATTTCTGTTATTTGGCAAATTCTACAAGGTCAGTTTCTAAAGATGACAATATCGCAGTCAACTGGTCTGCTTTGTATTGAAAATGACAGACATTCCGTCAGTACTGACGCCCGCTTCGCTGACGATTGACGCAAAACGAGAAGAAGAAAAAAAGGACGAAGCACTGATCGCATTCTGGACCTTTGGGCAAGTGAAGCAAAAACAATTACGAGAAGCATCCATTCATGAAAAAACATCAACAAGCAACTTGGTGCCGTCACTATATTCATCAAACGAAAAATACCTGTGCAACAAACTTGCTTTTCTCCTACCATCAGAATGCAGCATTAAACCTTTTGGACGGCTTCGTTTGGCACTGATCACACTGACAAGAAGAATCACAAACTTTTGGAGCAAAGTTAGGGCGAAGGGTGAATATCGATTGCTTACATTTCTGTTATTTGGCAAATTCTACAAGGTCAGTTTCTAAAGATGACAATATCGCAGTCAACTGGTCTGCTTTGTATTGAAAATGACAGACATTCCGTCAGTACTGACGCCCGCTTCGCTGACGATTGACGCAAAACGAGAAGAAGAAAAAAAGGACGAAGCACTGATTGAAGTGGCTTTCGTTCAACAGTGTAATCGTCACTAACCAGGTCAAATAACAAATGACATCTGCGCCCATCATTGCGTTTTGCTGACGATAGAGAGAAACAAGCCCCCCGCCTGTCTCGTTTGTTTGTTCGCGGGGGGGGGGGCTTAGAGGGAACTGCATTGAATCTACATGTGTGAGAGTGAGTGCTCCTGTTTTCAATAGGATCTCTGCGGGGAATGTGATCGCCGGCTGTGATTGGCTAATGAGGCGGAAGCAGATGATACCACGAAGTTCTGTGATCCAAAGCAAATATACAATCTTCGTTTGAGTGTAATTTAATGGACAGGTGTCCAGGCTGCTGCTGATGGAACGACGAAATTTCGTAAAACAAATGCCCACCTCTGGAAGGCGATGACGTTTTGATTCAGTTAATCAATAAACACATACGAAGCAACAGATAAAATATTAGTCTTTTTCACATTTGTTGGGCTGCATACAGTAGAGAGAGCTTGTTCAAGGATTCTGATTTTTGTTGTTTTTGACATTTTCAACGCAACTTTCTTTTTTTCAGAGGCAGAGGAGGAAACATTACGCAGCTAGAGTAGTGATTCCCAACCAAGGGTGCTGTGGGAAATTATCCAATTTCACTTAACTGTGAAATATATATCTCTTTGTCAGCGACTGCAAGTGACAGGCATAGCTAGCAGAAGGCAAATTAAACTTGTGTACCCGCCTGTTGTCATTCAAACAACAAAATTAGTCAGGGCTTTCTTTGAGTTGACAGCATCAGCTTTGTGTTCACATCAACAGGTCCAGGTTTCACACCAAGTATGTCAATTTGTCAGTAGGCTACCAGTAAATTGAGACAAGATCGTCATACTGTAATTTCAGGATTCATACTTTTTTCCGACATTTTTCTCATTTAAAATGGGTGCTTTAGCTCAAAGTGGGGAGGCGGGGGATACTTGACTAAACAACACAAATTCTACAAAAAGTGTATGTGAATGCTGAAAAGTTGAGGTGCTGCAGAAATATTGCAAGAAATAAATGAAAATGTTTTAACGACAAGTAGAAACAGAGGATTTGAATGAAAAACAAAGATCGAATCGGAATCTTTCTTCGAGGGGGGCTTGTTTTTTGTCTGCTTCCTGAGCATTTTCCTTGCACAAGGCACCAAATCCTCCAAATGTAGAGGGGTGCAATACATTTCTGACATCTCTAATTTAAAAAAAGTATCATAAAAAATATCCAATAAGAAGTCAGTTTTTTTTAACTTGTATGTTTGCTTTAGAAGTCTTTCCAGCATTTGACCTCTACAAAGTCAAGATTGTTTTCAAGTGACATATTAAAAAGGGATGGTCAAACAAAAGCAAGAGTAAGCCAGTTTTGACCATTAAAATCCTATATCCTGAATTCTTTGTAATTTTACCTACATGTAGCAGCAGCATCTTACAATAGGTCATGATTAGGTTTGTCATTTGCAAGCTCTGCTCGATAGGATAAAAAATAAAAAAATAAAAAAACACAAAAATGATGAAGTGCAATTCCACACGGGAACTCTTAATAGCATTTGCCAGCCGATGAAATGCGTTCATCACGTCGCACTTCCTACCACAGTGGGAAAATATTCCACAGGTTACAAGTGGGGCCCTGAACTCAAGCCAGTTAGGAGCTACTAAGAACAGCCAACAACTTCCACCAAGTTTTTTTTTTTTTAGGTGTGTATTTGCTGCGTTTATGGTTGTCAAGTGTCATTCAAGTAAGACTTAGCTAATGATCCACTGCTTTCAGTGAGTCACCAGTTTTATTGTGTAATACAATGCATCGTTGCTGCTGTTTTGATTTTTGGGGTCGGACAAACAAAGTCGGGGGGAACGGTTTTCAATCAATTGCAAAGGGATTCTACAAAAGGCTGTGTTGCGAGGGATGGAAGACGGAAGAGCTGAAACAAAGAAGACAAAAGAGCGTGTGGCAGAAGCAGAGGAACGGAGTTATTTTCTATCACTAGATCTACTAAGGAAAAGTGCTGATCGCACAAAGCAAATGAACTCGAGAGACAAGAATGTGATTACTACGAGAATGATGATGATATTCAATCAGAACCATAATAATATCAGATGAAGTACGAATATTAATAATCATTATAATCAGGAGAATTATATAATATTACAGAATAAATCTCATTTGTATATTTCTTCACATTTTTTTTTTCTTAAATCTTCTCAACGCAGACCTATGAGGATTCAACGTCTGCTGGCTCCAATTGGCTGTTGCATATGACATCACAGCTAATAGATGCCCCTGTCCAGGCAGGAAGTCCCAGCACCGTCAATATATTTGTCTCCAGTGACTGAAATCTGGGGAGAAAAATATCTGGGTTAGTTGCTACATGTTCAACTTTGTGAGTGTCAAGCACAGAACGCCGAAGCCATGTTAAAACTCGAGAAAGCACCTGCATCATAGCCGTCCGATGACCATAACATCCACAACTTCTCCCTTGTGCAGTTCCACATACTGCTCGGTTTTCGGAGGCAACATCAGCAGGCCGTTGGCACTGCGCATTGACATTAGCCTGCTGGACACTTGGTTACCTGAAAGGGGTGGACAAGAAGTTTGGGGGGAAAAAAAAACTTCCTCAGACTTGTTGATCACCTCAAGCACAAAAAAAGTCACAAACTAACGTGTGAACACAATTTTCTCTTTTAAAATACAGATCAGACTTGCATTGGCCACATTTTTAGGTACACTTGCAAAATCTATGAGTACATCCAACTCCGTTTTCTTTTTTAAGTCAATTATCTTCGAATATATCTATTATATATAATACATGTAAGCGTTATTAAATAGAACTGCACTGCTACGCACGAAAAGGTGTTTGTAATAACGTGGTTACTTTCATGCCATTTCACTGACAGGATAAATCACATCCAGATCATTTGTTTTTTTTCAAAAGGCAGAAATGTTGATATAACTCTTGTGTTTCATTGCATTAGATTGTGTATGTAAGTGAAGGATTCTTAGGACAGAAACAGAAAAAAAAATACTATTTTTTGCAAAAACAATCTAAATTAATGATAAAAAACGTTCTATACATGTTCATGGGAAGACAGAATTGGTAATCTATGCTCTAAAACCACCTTTGCAAATTACAAACACCCCAGGTAATTTTGCGGTTTTTAGAATTTCAATTAATTGACAGAATCCCCATTATTCTTTAAGTATCAATGAAACATTCAATCTTTTTATCCCATATTAACAAAGGGATAAAATAACACCCCAAATTAGTTGAAAGGCTTTTGATGGCGCACGCAGCCTTCGCACGTAAACGACCTAGTTGCTCTTGTCATCATTCTGTTGTCAGTAGGACCGGTAAATTTGAATAGAGCATCAACCATTACTCAACATTTATATGGAAAATGTTTGAACAGAAATTGGAGGCGAGCATGGTTATTTGGTTGAGAGAAATTCTGGCTCTGGTCATGGTGGAAATGATGAGACCAAGTGTGGCACTTATAGCCTGCCTGTGTGCATGCATTCTCACACCTGTGCTTTGAGCCCAGGGCAGCGGCTCTTGGTGATGCCAGGTGAGAATACAGCGATGGTACTCTGGTCGAGGATCTAGCTTCACATCACACGAAAGCTAAAACAAACACAAACAAACTAGTGGTGGGACTTCCTTAACCCTTGTGTTAGCCTTATTGCCTGAGGCTTTGGTCATCAAACAAGAGCAATGAATCTTATTTTCACTCATTCAAAATATCTGACACGGCGAACAGGAAGTGAAATTTAAACAGCTATAGATTGACAACATATGTAAATTCGTACAGATTCGTACAAATTTTCAAAAGTGTGCAATTCTAATACCATCTCAAGCAACATTTTGAGCTAAGAATATCCACAACTGGAGCCTATCCCAGCCGTAGGCGGGGGACACCCTGAATCGGTTGCCAGCCAATCTCAAGGCACACACAGACGAACAACCATTCGCGCTCACACTCACACCTAGGGACAATTTTGAGTGTTCAATTAGCCTGTTAAATTGATTTATTAAGGGGGGAAAAAGAAAAAAAAAGGATAAGGTCTGCTTTAATTTTATTTGGAGGACATTAATTGTGCAGACCAAAAGTCAAGATGAAAAGTCATGACTATATTGTATCCACTATATTAATCTACTTTTCAGGTCACTTTTCCTGCCTGACGTACGCCCTAACCTATCTGAATTCATTTCCAGTTTCTGTTTAGCAAGTATGAGTTTCTCTCCAGAGTCCAGTTTTGCTTGCTATTTTGCTGTTCAAAGTTGGATGTTCTCTGCTCAAACGTGGTTCCAGCCAGATTTCTATGAGAAGTGTACTCAATCACCCGAACACTTAATTTCGGTGTTAAACGGTTCCCTGTCAGTTTTAGGTTAGCTTTCCTCGTCATCCCTTTATGAGAACAAAACTACTCAAAAATGTAGCTAATTCGCTACCACGGAGGTAAGGATGACGGACTAACGAGCAACTCAGCAACATATTTAGCCACACCCCAAGTGTGGCTAAACACTGCATGCTGCTCATCAACTCAAAATCAGTTTTTCTTTCATTGAAAAATGAAGCTGATCATACTTTGCAGACAGTTGGCCAAAGAGCAGGCACAGTCCACGGAGATTCTTAGGCAGAAATAATTGTCTGTTTTTGTTTTGTACGAAGTAGAATACGTACGCCATATGTTGTGACAGAGGAGTAACCTGACCAAAACCTCCATGTATTGTGAACATATGGTATAGTTCAAAAACAGTGCATTATATATTGGATACCCTTGACAAATAGCATTCTGTGAAAGATGAATAGAAAAAAAAACAAGTACCTTTTATTTTGCTTTCTTTGTCAGTGTGTATGCGAGGGTGAGTAAGTGGGTTACCCTGGCCTTAATAATGGTGGGTCTAGGGTCCAGAATGCCTTGCATCTTCCTCAGTGCAGGAATCACAAAGAGATTACATGTGACAACTGCAGACACCGGGTTACCTGCAAAAACAAGCGATCACAGATTTTCAGTGGGGAAAAACGTAGCGCTTCATAGCAGTCAACTGACAGCATGTTTCTCTGAAGCATTATCGATTGACATGTTTTATCACTGAATTGTATTAGTATTGGAAGAAAGCAGTGATTCCTAGTCAATGTGCCCTGACAGGACAGTGTGCCATGAGAGATGATCAGATAGATGCACCATGGGAAATTATCTGTCAATTTTCTGTCAATTATGGTGCGACCTAATCCTGTGCTGGTGCGATCAACTTTAGCACTACTAGTGGAAATGTAACTGTAGAGCCCTGAAATTTCATTTTTGCAAAGGTAATTTTCTCACTTTTGATTGAGATATTCAATCATGTTTTTTTTTTTTTTTAATTCTTGTCGTTTCGCCAAGAATTGTATACTGCATCATAAAATGATCTGTGTCAAATATTTTGGTTTTATAGTAAAAAAAAAACAATCATCATCATCATTAAGGCTGAGTGGACTTTGTCGGGTCAGGGAACTTTATTTGGAAGGTTTCCCACAACTGTTTTAAAACGAGTCACAGCAAGACGTGGTGACAGATCTGACAAAGACTGGAGTGACAGCTGAAACTGCCAGCAAAGGAAGAGTATTGTCTTTACCGGATAAAAACATTTGTCTGAACAAAAGAAATTTAAAACTTGAATACAAGATGAGAGAAGACAAGATGAATGCTGAAGTTCGATATACCAGTTCGAGGTTAACAACAAAATATCCAGCTAACTGTAACACAAACATACAGACAAGTTAAATACCTGGCAGAGCAAAGATGAGTTTCCGCGTTCCATCAATGTCAACAGTGGCAAAGGTAGTAGGAAGACTGAAAACAAACACAGAACCCTTTTTTTTAAGCATAGCTCTATAAGCAAGTTACATTAACAGTTACAAAATTCCAATTTGCAACAATTTAACCATAGGTGAGTGGAAACAATATTCTTAAAATGTCTCTCCTTTTTTATTTGCATATACTGTAAACCTTTAGGGTTGTGGTTTGCTGTTAAATCTTGAAATTATTTATCTTCAAAAATGTCTCGTGTTTGCAGGACTGAATTGAATATGAGCAGGGTTGCTTCCTTTGATGAAAGATGGAAACGCTTTGCGCTTCCTGTATAGTAGGTGGCGGTATGACTCAAAGAGCTGTGAGTGGCGAGGGAGGCAGAAAGATGATGTCACTTAATTTTGCTATAACAACACATCCATCCATTTTCCGAACCGCTTTATCCTCACAAGGGTCGCGGGGGGTGCTGGAGCCCATCCCAGCTGTCTTCGGGCAGTAGGCGGGGGAGACCCTGAATCGGTTGCCAGCCAATCGCAGGGCACACAGAGACAAACAACCATCCACGCCCACACTCACACCTAGGGACAATGTTTTTGGAATGTGGGAGGAAACCGGAGTACCCGGAGAAAACCCACGCAGGCCCGGGGAGAACATTCAAACTCCACACAGGGAGGCCGGAGTTGGAATTGAACCCTGTAGCTTTGGATTGGATTTTACCTTTGGCCACAATGTGGAGTGGAATTCTGGTTATGGTATGCCATTTTAAATGCTAAATGAAAACCTTTTAGAGTTTTTAGGGTTAAAACCGTTGCAAGCAGCTCCCAGTTCTATATATTGGCAAATAAGCTGATGTGAAATGTAAGTGAGTGTACTGTATGTGAAGCTCTTTGGTTAGTCACCGTATGATGTAGATAGATTGACAGTGCACTCCATTTACCATTTTAATCACATTGGATTTTTCATTTGCTGAACTATGACGTGTTATTTTGTCAAATGATGGACCGGCAAAATTTTGCGAACAACAGAGAGGACCTAGTTGACAAAAGCAACAGTCATTGTTCTCAACTTTATGATTTGGTTGCCAAATTTTTCAACCTTGCTCGCAACTTTTTTTTTCCCCAAAAAAAGCAACTAGTACATTTCATTTCCACTAAGAAACATACGAAATGAGCTCGATTGTTGGACATCTAGTGGCGATGCTACCCACGCGTAGCTGTGTTGCTCGATCCACGGAAGCCTGTTTCACCACAGAGCAAAGGTGATTTGGGGTATTTACATGCTCAATCAAAACAAAACAAAACTAACTGGTATTGTGAAGGGTGAAAGGTAACTAAACAAGGGTGAATGGTAAAGAAAAAAAGAAGGACGTCATCCTTTATCTACTCACCCTGGCTTCATGAACACACGTCCAAAGTGAATCTGAGCATGAAGGTCAATGTCCAGCACCTGCTTCAGGAAGTCCTGGTTGGACACAGTAAAATTATGTTCATCTAACTGTGCCAGTTTAATTGATCAAATGTTGTCAGATGATCAAAACTGGAAAATTCAGCATTGGTTGAGTCAGAGTTTGGATCTTACCTTCTCTCCCATCGAGACGCCCCCTGAGGTGATGATGACATCAGCACGACTGATTCCCTCATGAAGAGCTGAGAGCAGGTCATCAGGGCTGCGCATACAGGTATGAAATGTCACTCCGGGGTCATGAATGACTCCGCATATTGCAAACACAGAGGAATAAACTCGATCAAGGATTCTGTGAGATCTGTTAAATTTCAAATAAGAGACGCATTTGGAAAGATGTGGATGAAACTCTAAATACAGTGTCCTTAAAATTTATTTGTGTGTGTGTGTGTGTGTGTGTGTGTGTGTGTGTGTGTGTGTGTGTGTGTGTGTGTGTGTGTGTGTGTGTGTAAAATTATTTTACTCTTATCATTATTTTTTTGTATTCTTAATTTCTGAGGACAGTATTTGGCAATTATTATTTTCACAAAATTCAAAGGGTGAGAATGCATCAATGAAGAGTTACAGCTTGGAATGAACTTTTTACCGAAACAGGAAATAATTTGTTTTGTTTGTAATATTTTTACTTGTCTCCAACAATGCCCAGGTTGATGGTTGGATATCCATGTTCCTGGATGGTGGCGAGCAGAGTCGAACGGTTGGAGTCTCTGATCTTTCCTGGGTGGAGGTCATCTTCTGGATTCAACAGCTTGAATGCAATAAATCAGTGAGTTAATGAAGAGAGAACGCGCTGGGAATAATCCTGTGATTATTTGTGTGCACACACCTCATTTCCAGTGGACATAACGGCCACCACTGGGAACTTGTGCACGTTGACATCAGTCACCCCCACAGTAGCCAGCAGACCGATCTCTGATGGGCCCATGTGTGTCCCTTTGGCTAACACACACTCTCCTCGTCTGATGTCATGACCTATAGGCCTGAACAGACAATAACAGTTGACTTCAAATACAGATGAAGTTCTAAAGCACCTTTAGGCGTGTGTGTGTGTGTGTTAGGGCTGCCACAAACGACTATTTTGCTCGTCGACTAATCACCAACAGTAGGCGTGATTGGTCGACAAATTGGACCATATGTAAATCTTAGCGGATCGCGCCAGCAAGCAGAAACATGATACTCTATGTGAGTTCGGGTGTGACTCTAAGGGAGTTGCTTGTTCAGTATCAACCACGAGCATAAAAAAAAAAAAAAAATTGTTTTGGTTGTCAATACATGAGAGTTCGCTGACTATTACCTCCACCCACCCATCTCACAGCCTCTTCAGCCTGCTGCCATCAGGGAGAAGACTACGGTGTCTCTGTGCTCGAACCAGCAGGCTCAAGAACAGTTTATTCCACCAGGCGGTCAGGAGACTCAACTCCCCCCGCCCTTTTCTGCCCGCAATCCCCCCACTCTACCCCTGCCTCTTGACACAGACTGTGACCCTCCCTCAGCACCTGACATCCGATTATTACACTTAAACAATGGACTACCTAACTTCAACCCGCAATAATCACAAGTGCCCTTGGTTGCCTGTTGATTGCTATTTAGTTTTCTTTTTTTTAAATTTTTTTTTTTTTATATTTGTCTTTTTTAATGCAGTTCAGTTTCGCTGCCCTTATTTTTAGCTGTGTGTGTTTTCAATGCACTGCATGTTTGCACTGTGGTTGAGAGGAAAGAAATTTCATCTGTGCTGTATGTTGTACATAGAGCATAGTTGACAATAAAGCTGACATGACTTGATTTGATTTTGGGTGAAAATACGCCCGAATTTCCAGACTTTGTTGCTAACACAGGTTAGCCAAGACACTGCATTACCCTCAAAGATTCCATTTACATCCGGGATGGCCCGGATTACCACTACCGCGCATGTGCATCACAGACAAGGCATACAGCCAGCAGGAGCAGCAGGAGATGAGACAGTTTCGATAATAAGTGACTCCTGTCAACTATTAAATTAATTGTCGACGATTTTGATCATTGATGTGACTAGTCAATTAATTTTGGCAGCATGATGTCATTGTTACTTTTTACCTGATGTCCTGTCCTGGCCGAGCCTGCACCATAATCCTCACTTCTAATTCTTCAGTGCCCTGAAAGACACCAGAGATAATATTACCATACTTGATGAGACACATGTATTCCCGGCAAAAATTTGTTTTCTTGCTTACATCTTCAGACTCTCTCAAAAGTTCTGTATCTTCCACTTGGACTACTGCGTCAGCACCACAAGGAATGGGAGCACCGGTGGTCACCCTCATCACTTGGCCTGGCATCACCGTGTGGGTGGGCTGCATTGACGCACAGTCACATTGGAACTGTCAACTTGGAACTGCAGTACAAAATTTGCCACAATCTAGTCATTTTTAATATTTTTGCTGGAAAAAAAAATTCTCATGGGAGCATCTTTCTTTTGTTGTTACTCGCTTCCTGCAGTTCAAAGCTATGACAGTAATGTAGGTAATCATTAATTATGTGACTGGCTCTGAGTATTTTTACAAGCACACCCTCAAGTCATGTTCTACTTTTGCGAGCCTTCTGACAATATGTGCTGTTGTACACTTGCGTAAAACAGCCATCGGGGATGACCAGAGAACGTGAACGATGCCTTGTTGTGTTATGAATGAGCCACTCTCTTTCTTCAAATGTTGGAATAGTCATTGATCGAGTGCTGTTAAAAAAAAAAAAAAAAAACATTGGTGGATATGTGTGATATCTTGTATAATGACCAGTTCCAAACATGTTTGTGCTGAAAATACGTCACGGGATACGTTACACGGTTAACAGCAGTTTCCTGTGCGACTTACAAAGTTCAATGTATAGTCCTGGAAATTCAATGAAAGAAATGTGCCTTGGCTCGAAAAAGATTGAAAAACACTCATCTAGAGGAGTCAAAAAAATACAACTGGTTCATGAAGCGTGCATTATAGGACGCTGCATGAAATGACGACATCGAGGAGTGATCAAAACATGACATTATTACAATTAAATTATAACATACAAGACATTTCAATGAAAAACGTTTCTATTAAATACCGACTCGTCACTCTCATTTCGTGGGAGGTGCCTCAAGTGCTCACATGTAAAAAGAGGAGAGTTAGGCCCTCGTGACTGTGACATTGTTATGGTGAATGAAAGCAACAAAGTAAAAGTAGAAATAGACTCCTAAAAGAAAGACCCCTGAACTGACGATTATATTTGGATTCCAAACATTCTTCGGTGTCCCATGATGACATTTGCCTCTATTCTGGTTGGGGAAGTGTTTAGGTTTCAGGATACCAACCGACCGTCACTGTTGTTCAACGCGGCCATAAGCGTTCTGTTTGATTTCGTGCTGGAGGGTTACATGATGGTGTATTTTGACTTTTAGTGGTTGCAATATCCATTTACATAAATCATTTGTGAACTGATGTTAGAGGCGAGGCAGCTGGTTGCCGAGACGCTAGCATGCTGTCGGCTAAAGTCTGCTTAGTACAATGCACTTTGTCGAGTCATCAATTATTTTCTTAAACTTTTACTACAATTTTAAGCTTTGGGCTGCTGGGAAAGGAAAATAAAGATTTTTAAGGAGGATCTCAAAACTGACATTTTTGACCAAGCAATCTATTTTTGTCAATAAATCAAACTAATCTCTCACTAATGACATACACTTGGACATGATTAAGATTTCACTTAGCGTAACCATTCTTTTCCGTCTGCCATTGGATTTCAGTGGTCTTGTCCAATATTCTAATTTACCCACCAATTGTAAACTGCCAGGGATAAGGCTGACTGACCGCTTATTATTTGTGCCTTGAACTGTGCATAAAACCGAGAGACTAGCATAGCATACAACCATACATCCGACATGACATGAATTTAGTTTGCTGTTTGCAGGTACAGTGGGGGGGTTCAACATTGAGGAAATGTATGCCAAATAAAGACCTAACGTTCTTTCTTTCAAAGTTAGCTTCTTTACTTTCTGTACCGGTCATAACCCCAATAGGAAATTGCCCCAAAAAAAGCACATTAGGATAATCCTTTGTTGTCTTGACTATTTTTGACAATAGAAATAAACTGAACTAGTTTGAATTGCACCAATTAGTGAATAAGGGCTGACCTGTTGTCCAGCCTGTGATTCTCCCATGATGAAGCGATCTCCTGGGCCATCGGCAGCTGCAGGACAACAACCCCAAATGAAATTAACTGAAAACTAGAGCATCTCCCTTGAATGGTGATTTAAAAGACAATTTCAGTGCCGAGTACAGAGTGAAAATTTTCGGGATAAATACAAGAATCATCAGCTTGAACCAAACCTTCCCACCGCATACCTCTTACAGCATAGCCGTCTTTAACTGAGGCGGGAAATGGAGGAAGGTTGTCTTTGGCATAGATGTCCTGAGCGAGCACTCGACCCAATCCGTCTAGAAGGATTAGGACATTTCTAAAACCATTTTAACAATACTCCAACCATCACAACAGGCAGAGTTAGTGCACGGAGTAGTTGGAAGCTTGACTGCTTTACGCCGCTTTTTCAAAAACCGATTAGGGCACACAGCACACAATCGATGGTGGAGACTGACCTCTGTAGTTTATGACTTCAATTCCCAGAATAGGAGTCATTTCTAAAACAGTGATGAAGGCTTTGTCCATTGATGTCAGTGGAAACGGGGACATCCGATGACGTCGTGCCACTTTGCTGATGTCCACCGCACTGTGACCTGGACATCCGTGCACACAATAGAGGTTTTGCACGGTAATGCAGTTGTGCAAGGGTGATGTGTAAATAACTTACTGGCCCTCAGGATGTTCTCATTACTGCCACATCGGGACTGGACCTGGAGGAGGACAATGATTCTCTTGTTAGTCATTGTTTGAATCGCATGGAACTACTGTAAGTCAAACGTTTTACTTTGTTACGGGATAGTTGAAGTTACTGTCTCCTGACAAAGGATTCAGAGTGGATGATTGAATATGGATATATACAGCCTTCCTGGAACTTTGACTTTTACAAACCAGTGCAGCCATTTACCTGTATTATAACTTTTAGGCACTGGTAGGTTTACATTGCTATCCCTGGAGTATCTACACATATCAAAAAAATTGGGAAAAAAAACCCAAATCACTATGAAACTATTTTTTTTTTCAATTTCCATATGACTTCTCCCCGTCTCCGCTGTATTTTGGCCCAGTATTCAAAAACTATCTGCTCCAGTTGCCAAGGTTTGTAGCTTGTTTTCTCCAGAAGGCCTGTGTCAGGTCCTTCCACAGACCTTCAATAGGATTTATATAAATTGTTTGAAATAGTCAATACATCACTTTAGAATAGTCCAATGCTTTGCTGTTAGCCATTGAGTCATTATCTTGTGACAAGACCCATGACCTGCGAATGAGGCCGAGGTTTCCAACAATAGGCAGGACAATTCTCTCTAAAATACCTTGATAGTTATGAGATTTCATTGTAGCTGGACAGATTCAAGACAGCCTGTGCTGGATGCAGCAAAGCAGCCCCAGAACATGACAGACCCTCCCTCCATGTTGAATAGTCGGGACAGTATTCTTTTGTTGATATGCTTCATTGTTTTAATCTGTGAACATAGAGCTGATGTGCCTTGCCAATGAGTTCCAATTTTGTCTCAGCTCTCCCAGAGGCATTGTGAATGTACTCTATGTCGGTGGAACTTCCTCCTCGCAGCAACATGCAGGGATGGCAATATGATGTGATTTCACTGACATTAACCGTTTGTTCTCGGCATTAAAAACAATGCTACATTTTAATCAATAACAAAAACACTTTTTATTTTATTGTTTTTTTGTTGTTGTTTTTATTTTTTATTTTTTTATGAAAACAAAAAGATTTTCGTGTGGCACGGTGACAGACTGGTAAGTATGTGTGCCTCACAGTGCAGAGGTACAGGGCTCGATTGCACACCCTGGCCTTCCTGTGTGGAGTTTGCATGTTCTTCCTGTGTCTGCATGGGTTTTCTCCGGGTACTCCGATTTGTTCCCACATTTCAAAAACATGCATGGTGCGTTTAAGGATCACTCTAAAATTGTCCGGAGGTGTGATTTTGAGCGTGAATGGTTGTTTGACTATGTGTACCCTGCGATTGGCTGGCAATCAGGTCTACCTCGCCTGCTCCCCTGAAAACAGCTGGGATAGGCTCCAGCACGCCCGCGACCCTAGTGAGGATAAAGTGGTTCAGATAACGGATGGATGAAATGAGGCAAGAGCAATTTGTGATTGGATGGTCATGAGGGTGGAGGTGGAACTCCCACCTATACAGTATATGCAACAGCTTATGTAGGGACATCACTAGTTTTCAGATCACAGCAGTGCATTATGCACATTGCCAATGATAGGTTACATAGCATGAGAAGAATTACAGCATTGATCCATCCATTCATCATGCCAAGACCGTTTGTAAATCGAAAGTAGTCCGGTAATTTTTCTAAGAAAACTATAAATGTAGGCAAAAAGGAGTGTTCCTGACCAGAGGGTTCACTGTGTGCGAGAGAGAGAGAGAGAGAGAGAGAGAGAGAGAGAGACGCACACACAAAATGTAATAGTTGATGAGTTATTTATACATTTATTTATTTGGTGCTTTGTTTTTCTCTTCAAATTTCCTTGTTTCGTGCTTCTCCTGCTAATTGTAAACCTCATCTATGATGCACATGTGGAGTTGTGGTAATCCGGGGCAGAAGTGATGTAAATAGAAACATTGTGGGTAATGCAGTGTCAGGGCTAACCCGTGTTAGCTACAGAATCCAAAAGGCAATTTTCATACAAAATGCTTATTACGATGCAAGACTTCATTTCTTGGGAGCACGGCGGTGATGAACGACCATCGAAAAAGAAAGCATGTTGAGGCTGATGCCTGATTGCAGTCCTGACATAGGGACAGTCGTGTCTAGAAGATTAGCAGACACAGGCTACCGTGGGCGTTTGATGTAAAGCACTACCATGTCACGTGCTAACACACTGTCGTTTGTAATATGGATTACAGAAGCATTCATCAGTGAACTCCCATTTACTGACAACCAAAACAGATTTTGTATGCCCGTGCTAGACATCGAACAGAAAGAGCACAGACCACACACTACCCATAAGTCTCTCTCCATTCCTACAATCGCAACCACGCCACAAAGTGTTGCTTTTAAAAACTCGGACATAGCAGCACTCAAAGTAACAGAGGGTGATATGTTTTGCCACAAGCCATCAGTGGAAGCACAAATGATAAAGCACAACCTAGGTCGTTACGATATACTAACTTATAGTGCTAAAAAATATGTTCTAAGATTGAAGGACTTTTTTTTCTGTTCAGGTAGATACCACATTTTGATTGTGTAGCTCATTTTGCTACTTTTAAATAATGCAAAGGAGTGAAGGCAGAGAAAGCTGGATACAGGTTCAAACCAGCGTCTGAGAGCTTCGAGTGGGCCACTCTTGACATCATGGAGTAATCTAAGTGTTTCACGAGCATTATATTGTTTTATGTTTAAAAAGAACATGTCCGGTAAACTTAAAGAAATCGATTCGTAAACACATGTTCCTCATCGAAAATTCAGGTTGGAACCATCAGAAAAATAAAATGTGAGCTGGCTCAAATAGACGGTACATGCTTTCCACCAGTGAAACAACAAATTAAATGTGAGCTTTAGGACAATTCCAGCATCAAGTTTTTGCATGTTTTTCCTTTTCAGAATTAGCACCGCTTGTCATTACAATGTGCATCTTAGAATATTACATTCTGCTTGCTCGGAAAGACATTGAAAGTAAACTTTGGGATGAGGGCAGACACAGCAAGATACAGTATGTGCAAAATTGCAAGAACAGATTTCTTTTACATTGTTGGAAAATAAAAGCTGCTTTCTTCCACTTGTCAAAACGACTCGGGCTTCAGTACAGCGTCTACATTCATGTGTTAACGTGACTATATGTGGGTACCTTAGGTGTTGGGCATGAAGCGGTGGAAAGGCGGGAGGTTGCCTGTGTTGCCCGTGGTGACTCAGAAGGGGTGGAGCTCAAAGACGCAGAATCTCGAGGAAGCACCTGAACACCTCGAGAAATGATCGAGTCCGGAATCTACAGGTTAAGAAAGCAGAGACATTAAGATGATCCATGTCGCCATGAAAAATCTTTGGTCTTACTGCACAGTAACATGTCATGTGTATTTTTGAAGCAACAATTTATGCAACTAGGATTTAATCTGTTGTTAAACATAGACACCGGTGACACTAATGTGACGAAATTTAATACAGTGGATGATTACAAAAAAGAAAAAGAGAATAGCAGAAATAATGCGGTTGACGTAGAGATTAGCAGGATTGAGCCGTCGTCTCCCAAAATAAAATCTATGTTCAAATATGCATTTGAAGAAACTACAAACAGACCACTTGACGCTTTATTAGGTCCAATTAGGTATGCGTGAACTTTCGTGAAACAGTCACAAATTAAACATGCTGATAATTTTGGGTTCAACTTTAAACTAAACAAGGAAATTAAACTGATTTTCAAAGCACGGACACCCATTATATGACAGCAATAATTACATCTCGGTTAAACACTGTCTGACAGCAAAGTACACATTTATCCATCCATCCATTTATCTGATCCGCTTATCCTCACAAGGGTCGCGGGCGTGTTGGAGCCTATGCCAGGTGTTTTCGGGCAGTAGGCAGGGTACACGCTGAACTGATTGCCCGCCAATCGCAGGGGACACATAGATGAACAAAAACCATAAACACTCACACTGAGGGACAATATAGAGTATCGAATGAACCTACCATGCATGTTTGGAATGAAAGTACGCTGATAAAAGGAATACATAAAAAAAAAAAAAAACTTATCTGCATTACATAATCTTAACAGTCCCCCAAAAAGCCAGGCCTATTATGTTTTACAAAAAGTCAATTAGTGTCCTATTGAAAGAAGGTAAAAATAAAGAAATCAATAACAATCCATGACATCATAGGTACAATTATAAATGATGTATGAAAAGTTGAATTACGTTTTCAAGAACTTTGACATCAACAGCGTTTTATGATCTTGCCTTTACACAAACCACATTAGATTTGAAATCAAATAATCAAGGTGTGACTAAAGTACGTATAGACTTTCAGCTTTAATGAGGTTGTACAAAAATATGGCAATTATCCATCTGGCCATCCATCCATTCATCATCTTCATCTTATCAGGGGTCAGGGTCGTGGGTGCAGCAGCTTAAGCAGGGAAGTACAGATGACCCTCTCCCCAACCACTTCGTTCAGCTCATCCAGGGGGAGCCCAAGAGATTCCCAGACCAGCCGGGAGACAGAGTCTCTCCACATGTGCTAGATGTGCCCAGAACACCTTACCAGGGGAGCACCCAGGAGGCAACCTGAACATATACCCGAGCCACATCTTCCGTTTCCTCTCAATGCAGAGGATAATCAGTCTGTGGGTCTTGTTGCCATAAATATAATTTCAATTGAATTAAGTTCCCTGGGTTCTGTCAGTCTTCGTTGGATCTGTGTGTTCTTGTCATGTTTTGTTTCTGTTATAGTTTATTTTGTTTGTTTGTTACTTAGGTTTCATGTGGTTTTCAGGACTTTGTTTGTGTATTTGACTTAGATTTTACTCCTGCAAGTATTTTTTTTGTTAATATATTTTCTTCAGTCCAGTGCCTCCTGCCTCCCTGCTTTTTGGGTCCTCTACCATCACGCAAAACTTCACAGAATAATCCGAACCAGCAAATGGACCCCGCAGGACCAGAGGCTTGATACCATCGCCAAACCCATTTCGGTGGCGCACGTCCTGTGGCAGCTACCCTTTCTGGCGGCGCACGTCCTGCGGCCGCCACCCCATTCCTGTTCCCGCGGCGCATGTCCTGCAGCTGCCACCCGTCCCCGTTCCGGTGATACATGTCATGCGACCACCATTCGTCCCTGTTCCGGCAGCGCACGCCCTGGCCCGTCCCCGTTCAGGTTAAAACATGTCATGCGGCCACCATTCGTCCCTGTTCCGGCAGCGCACGCCCTGTAGCCACCGCTGGGTGACTTTGGGAAGTCTAGGATCCATCCCTTGAGGGAGGGGTAATGTTATGTTTTTGTTTAGATTACATTTGGTTTTGTTCCTTCATGTGCCTTTTTTGTCTCCACCTGTTCTTGTCACCCGGGTGCCTTGTGTTAACCAATCAGCTCCCTCAACCCTTTGTGTCTTGTCCATGTGTTTCTCCTTGTCTCGTCACTTTGCTTGTATTTAGTTCCGCGAGTTCTGTCAGTCTTTGCAGAATCATTGTGTGTTCCTGTCATAGGTTTTTTTGTTTGTTACTTACTTTGGTTTCATGTGGTTTCCAGGTCTTTGTGTATTTCAGTTAGTTTTTCCAGTGTACTCCTTGTTACTTTGGTTTCATGTGGTTTCCAGGTCTTTGTTTGTGTATTTCAGTTAGTTTTTCCAGTGTACTCCTGCAATAATTTTTTTGTTCATATATTTTGTTCAGTCCACCCTGCTCCTCCTGCCTCGCTGCTTTTTGGGTCTTCTACCATCATGCAAAACTTGACACAAAGTGGTGTATAAAGACAAAATCGCAAAAATGATATCAATGCCAATACTACTCAAAATGTACATATTGAGCAGATTAAAAATAAGAAACTGTAATTACAATCCAAGTCTTGATGCCCTTCCTTGTTGGTCATGATTGTATGTAAAACATGCAAAAACCGGGGGTCTCTACAGCAAGTTGAGATGTCTTAAGCAATTGCTCACTTGAATAATTTCATCAGACTGACAAAGGCACCTCTAGAGTCCCAGAAGAGATTATACAACTAAATGCCTGGGATGGTCACCATCTACTCACATGTGAATAGACTTTGACATCCAGTATTCAGTACGTACCCTGAGGAAACTCACCTAGCTTTCTGAGAAATGGGAAATTATCAAATAAATCCTCCCTTGTAAATATATGTATTTTGCTTTTTATACTATATCATAATTTCTAATCATTTCATCATTCCCTTCGATGCACTGAGGTTTGTGCTGGTAGCCGTAAAATTGCCCAACTACCAGAACAGTTTGTCCTTGAGGGTCTCATGTGATGTAGTATTTCACCTTCACCCAGGCCAATTCATACAATTGAAACATTGTCAGACTTTTACACAACATGAACCCAGACCAAACGATTATCTCCGGATGGGGTTGTTTGTCCCAAAAGGACTAATGAATAATTGTCACCACGGTGTGCTGATTTTCAAAAAAAGTACCCAAAAAAAAAAAAATGTCCATGGGGAAAGAGGTGAGGTAGGTGGTACAATTACATAACACACAAAACATGTGCAGTTCACCCACTCAACAAGAGGACGTCAGATGCTTGTGTGGCAAATGCTAATTAACTGCCACTCACGACTGGAACAATTGCTCAAATGTTTATCTGTAGAAAGGAGCGGAAACATTAAGAATGTATGGAGCTTTGGGTTTTGCTACATTGACCAACAGGGCAGTTAATAAAAAAAGCATGAACACTTTTTGGGAGCGTTTACTTGAAGCTTCTTCTTTAAATACAGTTTTTCAAAGCATTTTCACAATCCCCTAAATCAGTGGTGTCAAACCTAGGGCCCGCGGGCCGGAACCGGCCCACAAGGAGGTTCAATCAGGCCCGCAGGATAATTTAAAAATGAAAAAATGCATTAAAGACACAGAATTAATATTTTTAATAAGGTGCAATTCATTGAGTATCCGCAAGGGGACACTGTTTTGATCAGAGAAGAAGACAACAGCAGCCTCAGTGCGTCACTGAGACAGACCCATGACAGCAGACGCTATCAATAGCACTCTCACATTTACACATTTAATAGCACTCTCCTTAGTTTGTAAGGTGTAGGCAGGGATTACGTTTAGATTTTATATGCACGTGTAAATGGTTTAAAACTTCCTTTCTTTATCAATCTCGTTTAATTTTAAAGTGCATTACTATATTTTTCAATACCAATTACTTGTTAAAGTTTGTACAATCAGTGGGATCAGTTGCAATGCATATATGTGAATGATAAAAGTAAATTGCACATTTGTCGAAGGGAATGTAAGGTGCTTCATGAAATGTTTTGTAAAAGATATGTCATTAAATGTCAACATTTTCCTAATGTTCTTGTGCTTCTTTATACCGAAACAAAGGAAAGACATATTGTGTTGGTTATTTATAGCAAAGTATGGTATCATTTTAATGGTCCGGCCCACTTGACATCTACCGAGGCCGTATGTGGCCCACCATGTGAAATGAGTTTGACACCCCTGCCCTAAATGCTTCCAAATGTAAAGATAATATAAGATAAGAAAAACCTTTATTAGTCTCGCAATGGAGAAATTCCCAATTCACAGCAGCAAAGTTATGAAAGGAAGAAGTAGAACAACAAAATATAGGAAAGGCACTTATTGTAAAAATGTATGTACCCTTCCAGCCACTGGTTGGTTCGACTTAAAATTCTAATAACTGTTGCTTTGTGTGTCGTGGAGCTTTCTCCAAACGTCAACCACGTATGGTAGTTGAAATATGAATTGGCGGGTTCTGACAGACAGACATGATGAGCTGATCAATGACAAAAAAAAGGGAGTGTGAAGGTGCCTCACCTGCTGGTCATGGGTACAGGAGCAGGTGAAATGAGTGGGAGGGGCAGGCGTGTTGCCAGGCAGATAGGGACCCCCCTTAGCCATGACCACAGCATGACTGGTCTGATGGACACCAAAATGCATGCAGGGGTCACACACAGACATATGTTGGCAGAAGTGAACAGGTGAATGACATGATGTGGGCATAATGACAAAACATTCATTTTACTCTAATGAATCAGGTGGATGAAATATTCATCCATACCAGGTACATTGGACCCTTTGGAACAACTTGTAATTTATAGGAAAAGGAAACTCTGACACAGGTGGGAAAATAAATGGAAGTCAAAGAAAAACAGAGTGAGACGAAGGAGGACACGACAAATAAGCATCGGCTGTCGTCCTACAGTACACTCCAAATTAGTTTTTTTTTTCTTGTTTTTTTTTTTTAGTTTTAAATTTCTGTGGTGCTTTTTGTAAGTGTGTGATCTTTTATCAGCAATCATAGGCCAAAGAAGAAAAGTATCATGAAACTAGGAATGGGCAAAAACTTGGTTCATGTTCAAAATAGTGATAAATGTGTGTAATTTGCCTGGTGTCCATAGCAACAATGTATAAAAGCCACATCTTGGTTCAGCAAGATGAAGTGCACCACATGGCAGCAACCAATACAGAGAACTGCTGATTCCGTTTTAAATAGCTTGCCTGCAAAAGAAAAGACCACATAGAGTGGGACTCTTCTCTTTCGTAGTCCAGATTCAGTTGTGTAAACAGAGTACGGTAGTACCCTTTTGCTCACATTTGCACAAGTGTACTGCACAAAACTCTCAGGCCACCACAGGCTTTGTTGCTTTCATTATCGTTTCCGAATTTTGACAAAGAACAACTCTGAATAGCAGAATAGATAACAGTGATGACATTGGTTATGTCTCCATTCCATGCAAGCAATGTTGCCTGGAAGATCCGGCCGTGTGCAGTCGTGCACCGCTCCAACCCCCTCAGGGCACAGCAAAATGTATACAGCACCCCCCCCCCCCCCCAAAAAAAAAAAAAACTTCAAACCTGAGCTGCATTGGTATTTTGGATTTTCACATTAGCCTCATACAAAAGCTATTGAAAAGTTGATTTGGCACGTGTGGGTGACCAAGCGGGAAGAAAAATGCATAACTTTTTTTTTTTTTTTAAAGACAAAAATGGTGACAGTGCAGGAGCAGACTAAAAACTGCAGTGTCTTGCAATCATTGTCACGCAGACCTTGCTCGAAGATGCCCACTTCCAGTTTCATTTTGCCTAGTCTTAGGTCTATATGGGGCTTCTTTACAGTGATATTAAAGTTGATTTACCACCTTACTAATATAACATTACCCTGCAGAGGGATTGGTCTCTTTTAATTGTACGTCTACCTTGGAGTTGGGGCTTGTTTACTCCCATGGTGAAAAGTGCAGGCTATGCAGGTTGAAAACAAACAAAAATAGTTGCAATCAATGTTCCCTCTAATTTAATGTATGCTGACAGAGTGAGAGCAGTGCGCAATTGCTCACACGCGCAGCTTAGAGGGAATAGCGGTTGCAATGTGTTCGACAGCTCATCAATTGGACACGTGGCGTTATCCAGCTTTCATGCTGGCCACTCGTCTAGTCACCGATCCCCTCAGTGGAAAGAACCCAGATGCTTGAATGAGAATATCTGTGCACAACTGAAGAATATTGCCGCAATGCACAGTATGTACGAAGTGTGGATGGCCAATCCGTGGTGAGATTCACTCAGTTATTGCAGCTCCGCGCTGCCTCGCGTCATCAATGCACGGGCCGCGAGTAAGCACGCTTTTGCTGGCTCAGTAGAGGGCCAGAGCTGGTCATTTGGATGTCCGAGGCACAACTAATAAGCGTATTTTCCGCACTAGAAGGCGCACCTAAAAACATTCAATTATCTCAAAAGTGTGCCTTATATATGGATCAATATTCTGATTTATTGGACGTAGTATTTTAAATGTTCTGTAAAGCGCTTTGTTACAGCCGCAGCCGATTGTGAAAGCTCTATATACATAAATCTGTATTGTATTGTATTCCCTTTAGCGTAGCTCTATCTGGTGGATGCATAACGCAACCTAAGACACAGCCACGATTGTGGATTCTACTCTATGCGCCTTATAATGCAGTGCGCCAAATATATGAAAACAGTTTTAAAATAGACCATTCATTGAAGGTGCACCTTATACTCCGAAGCGCCTTCTAGTCCGGAAAATACGGTCTTCATTTTTTTTGAATGCTCAGCCACATGGAAAATAAGAGGGAACATTGGATACAAGAAAGATAGGCCGGGTCTTTGCTTGAAACTATAGCCTATATAATCATTTTTTATTTTTTGTACATGGGGTCCTCAGATTTACGACATTTCAAGGTTACAACCGGCGTAAGATGTCATCAAGCAGCACAAGGCAAACTTGTTTCCTGACTTATTTACAGTTTTTCATTTGACTGGTTTATATTCAAGCACTGTTTGTCATACAAATATGTGCCGTACTATAATTATGACTTTCCTATTGTGTTAGCGTAGGTCGGTAACAGATAGGTTTCTGTGGAACCAAACTTTGCTGTAAATCACTGGACCGACTGGATGCTCAATGTACACATTTTCAACCATTTCTAGTGTTTTAAAGAAATCGTGTCGTACCTGGTGCAACATATCCAAAATAGGGACTTTAAAATAAAGACCCACTGTGGCCAAAGCAACAAATCAAATGGATGCCCAAGAATTTTGTAGAGTACGGTTATCCTGCAGACTCCGCAACTGCATTTGGCTCAATAGCCTTGTTATCTGTGCTGTCATGACCAAAATGACCTCCGAGGTTTCTAAAAGTTTCACTGATCAAGTTTGCAACAGCAATATTGTATGCTCTGTTAGTTTGTTACCTTTGCAGCAATAGCAGCTGCGGTGATGTGGGAGGAGCCATGCTGGTGATGGTGATGATGGTGGTGGTGTGCATGTCGACCTCTCCGCCTGTCTTCCTCCTCATCGTCCTCCTCCTCGCACTGAGTGCCGCGCTCCATAGTGTGTGAGTGGGCATGCGTGTTGGTGTGTGCGTTGGACAGCAGAGAAGAAGGAGAAGGCAGCTGCTCGAGTGCGGCGTGTACGGATTTAACCCTGACCATGGCCTCGCGCAGCAGGTCGATGGCATGGGGCAGAGCAGGAAGGATGAATTGAAAACACTCCTGGAAAAAAAAAAAAACTGAATTCATAAAAATGAAAGGATTTCCCAGTCATAAAAACAGCTAATGCGTGCAGAGTTTTATTCCAGTCCGGCTAACAAAGTTTCAGCATGTATGAATGTGCATGGGTGTTGATTAGCTAAAGTTGCTAAATTATATGTTTTTCAAACAATTGGAAAAAAAAAAAGTAATGTGAGGTAACAGTGCAACTTGTCAAATCCGCTGCAGCTGTTCTGACCTTTTGATAAGATCTATTTCAGATCTACTGATAACTTAGATAGATAGAACATAGATGTACTCTTGATGCAACTCATTAAGTCAAGACATCAAAAGACAAAAATGAGCAACTCCTCAGGCTGACATTTTCTTTTTCTTAAAGCATAAAAATTTCTGTGAGCCTGTACAGTCTTGACCTATGAGCCCAGAGCTTCAGTACTTAACCTATTTTGACGTGCTTTGAGCGCATGACAGTTGGGCTGTGAACGGGACTTAAACTCTGGCAACAAACAGGCATCCGTGTGATGACGCTGCCCTTCCATTGCATTCACCTCTCTCATTCTTGAGAAAATAGCTAACACTACCACCCACAATTCATGCGTGCAGTAACGAACATTTTGAGAAGAGAAAACTGTACTGACAGAAGTGTTCAAGCTTTTGATGAATTACTGAAATAAAAAGCTCACCCACCACTTTAGCGAGGATAAGTTGGATGGAAAATTGCTGGATGAATGGAATTGGGTGAAGAGCCTTAATTTGCCCTTGCATCGACTCCTACCGTGTATCCCATTCCATTTCACAGGTGAGCTGGATCATAGTTAATTTGTGCATTTTTTTGCACCATTTATTTGAAATAATGTCCTGCGTTTGAATAAAGGGAGGGAAATTAAAACATGCTTTTTAAAATCCAATTTATTGATTAATCATCACAACAATTGACAGATTAATCAATTATTTTGTTTGCCCGAAACATACCTTCTGGAATTATGGCCAAAAAGTTCTAACTTGATTTCATCGGACCTTAATGCATTTTCCCACATGTAATTTGTATTTGAATGATGTTTTTGAAACTACAGACCACGTGTCAAACTCAAGGCCCATATCCAGCCCGCCACGTCGTTTTATGTGGCCCGCGAAAGCAAATCATCCTTGCTAAAATCTGTACTGAAATGTCGAAATGTCATGTGCAAAAACGTTGAGATTTTTGTTTACCCTGTTCACACTCACCTGAACAATAATTGAACAAACAAATTGAACAAACTAGTAATTGACCAATTTGTTGTGTGCAAGTAATTATCCGATTTGATGAAATATACGATATGAAACATTGATTCGGTTTCACTGTCGTAACGGCCCACCGAGGGAAGACATAACTCCAAAGTGGCCTGCGACAAAAGTGAGTTTGACACCCCTGCTATAGACAATGTGGAGGAACACATAAATAGTTTGAAACAGCAAAGAGCGCTAACATCTTCCAACTATTGTTGCAAAATTAAAAAATATAAATTAAAAAAAATTAAAAAGGAAAAGCCTACTAGAACAGTTTCATTTGCCAGGTGTGCAACTCCCATTGAACATGAATTTAAATGTGATTGGTTAATTCTGAACATAGCCACATCACACTTAAAAGATGTGTGCAGTGTAACCAAATGATTTAATAAAATTTTCCTTTCCCTTTAAAAAAATGTTTTAACCCATTGAGTTGTACAGGTAAGAATCACAATGGTGGGGGAAAGTCAAACGCTGGCACTTGAGCGGGGGGGTATAGACTTGTCATATCCACTGTAAAGTGAATATATCCTTTTCAGGATCAGTTTAACGTAGCAGAAAATCAGAGTGAACAGAGTCATGGTACATTACCTGAGAGCCCTTCTTGCTCCCTGGCAGGTTGATGATCAGAGTTTTACCACGGATACCACACACTGGCCTGGAATCAAAACAGTAAATGAGCACACGTGAACCAAGCTAGAGTCAAACTGATTTTGGTGAAAGGAGAAGTAACATGGAATGAGAGGAAACCAAATCGAATCCTCACCTGGACAGCATACCAAGTGGCGTAACGTTAAGGGAGCCCATAAGCATTGCCAGAGCCATGCCTGGAGCCTCTCTCTCGATTACTTCTCTGGTGGCCTACAAGGTGAAACAGCGCTTGATAGTCGGCAATAGATTAAGGTAAAGTAGTAAAGTATATATTAAGACTTTAGGACTTAAAGCAATGGACTGAGTTAGTTATGGAATTGCAAAAGCAATCATTTAAGTCCCTACAAATTGAGACATTAAATCAAAACATACTTCTGGATATTAGTAATGAAACAATACGTTCATGTGAGTACCTCAGGCGTAACATCGCGTGGTGCAAATCCAGTTCCTCCTGTAGTGAGAATAAGATTAAGCTCCTGGTCATCACACCATTCCAAAAGAGTTTCCTGTACAAAACATATTTTCAGAATTAACAATTGCAACTTAGACCTGAAATTTGATGGGCATAAATGTGAATTTGTATGCTAGCTTTTCAAACGTGGGTCTCAATCTCAGGTCCTCGAGGGTCGCTTTCCGAAATGTTTGAGACCCTGGCTTTAAACTCTTTGAAAATGAAGATGACCATATTTTACAGACCATTTGGAGCACTGTACTATTAGGTCCAATATCAATTAAGAGGTCTATTTTAAAACATTTTCATACACAAAGCATACGGGGTTATGAGGTTTATTTGATGGATTCAACATTAGTTTGTTTCAGCGCGGACGCAAAATATCGTGTGACACCGCATGTCTCACTTGCTGTTGTTTGCCGTGATACACGGGGTTCCTTTGTGAGGAAAAGTTAAGGGTATCCTCTGACAGACGAAAAAAAAAAAAAGATTGGACATAGCAAGTCAATCTGGTGACCAGTGGTGGTGGTATTACTTTGGCTAATGCTTAATGCTATTTTCGCGGACAGCTCAACGGCTATAAACAAGTCAATGCATTCATCATAACCCAACCTTTGTTACTCGGTCCCGGCAGCTACTGGAAGCTGGCTGAGTTGTTTCCCAGCGGTCCCACATTACAACATTGGGAATGCGCCGCCAGAAACATTGAGCTTGCCTTCGGTCTCTGTGACCGCAGCATTGGGCGAGTAGGACCACATTTCCCGTGATTGTTTGACACAGAAGCAGGAAGTAGTTCTCTTTGCGATGCGATGAAAACATGGATGACTGCTTGCGATTTGATGCGGATGAGAATGAGAACACTAACGTAATAGGAAAGAATTTGAATTAAAGGCAAGGATTTGAAAAGCCATCCAAACATAAGGTGTACCGTCACTCTTTCGAGAAAATTAAAAGGGTTTCAATTGTGTCTTATGGTCTGAAAAATACGGTAAATACCTGAACATTGTACATGCAGCAAAATGTTCATCATGTCAGTGTTACGACTTTATGTGCATCAAAGCAGAGTCCCATACCTTGATTTCATCAATCTCATCAGGAACAATTTTATAGGCTGCAATGACCCCACCTAACCTGCAGGTTGTGACAGAGGGAATTAGAGGAATCTCGAAAAATCTGTGCTAATGTGTAGGCAGACTTACAGTGACGGATCATGAACCAGGTCCTTCAAGTTGACCCCACTCCTGTCCTCAGCCAAGTTCTTGAAACAACTGTCACTGACTGAGAAGAAGGTAACATTTTCATATATTATATAATCTATAACACATATTCATATGAATGAGAAGAAAATTCAGATGGAAAAAAGAAATCCTGAATAGCGTGTTAAGGACCCAAACTAAAAGTAAAATCGATTATATTAAGTCAGTAACTTAGCATACTTTTTACATTCCTACAATGAAAACATTCTGGTTAATTATGATTTGCAACACTTGATACATACTATTACAAAAGTGTTTCATTGACTGAAGGCATTTCCTATTGTCCAGCGAGAGAAGACATCTCCAGACCATAAATCTAAATACTTGACCTCCAACTCTGCAATATTGCCATGAAGTCTTTGCCGCCTTCTCAAATTCTTAGTTTTTTTTGTTTTGTTTTGTTTTTTTTGCATAGTTTCCCCACTTTGTTTAAGATCAAACAAAAACGTAAAAATCAGATAAAAGATAAACCAAGCAAACATCAAGTGTAGTTTTTAAATTGTGATCTTTAATTATTAATGAAAAAAAAAAAAAAAACAACAACAACAACATTCATTGCTACCTTGCCCTGTGTGGAAAAAGTGATTGCCCCCGAAACCGAATAATTGGTTGGGCCATGCTCAGCAACAACAACTGACATCAAGCCCTTTCTGCAACGAGCAATGAGTTTTTCACATCTCTGTGCATATATTTTGGCCCATTCTTCCATGCAGAATTGTTCTAATTCAACAACACTGGACCATTGTCCTGCTACAGAGCCCAGGCACACATCAGCTTGCGGCCACGGTCTGATGGATCTGATCGTGCGAAGACCTACTTGAAATATGCATTTACAAAGACAGGTTATTCCCACAGAAGAACGAAGCCCACACTGCACAATACGTGGCAAGCGGCTCTCCAATGAGTCAATGGAGCCTTCAAAACCGATGTCTCAAATTCTTAGTTTTTTTTGTTTTGTTTTGTTTTTTTTGCATAGTTTCCCCACTTTGTTTAAGATCAAACAAAAACGTAAAAATCAGATAAAAGATAAACCAAGCAAACATCAAGTGTAGTTTTTAAATTGTGATCTTTAATTATTAATGAAAAAAAAAAAAAAAAACAACAACAACAACATTCATTGCTACCTTGCCCTGTGTGGAAAAAGTGATTGCCCCCGAAACCGAATAATTGGTTGGGCCATGCTCAGCAACAACAACTGACATCAAGCCCTTTCTGCAACGAGCAATGAGTTTTTCACATCTCTGTGCATATATTTTGGCCCATTCTTCCATGCAGAATTGTTCTAATTCAACAACACTGGACCATTGTCCTGCTACAGAGCCCAGGCACACATCAGCTTGCGGCCACGGTCTGATGGATCTGATCGTGCGAAGACCTACTTGAAATATGCATTTACAAAGACAGGTTATTCCCACAGAAGAACGAAGCCCACACTGCACAATACGTGGCAAGCGGCTCTCCAATGAGTCAATGGAGCCTTCAAAACCGATGTGTCATACTTGGTGGTTAACCGCATTGCTAAGGCTAAAGAGTAAGACATCACTGTCCAAATCCAAATTTTTAACTTCCTTGGGCCTGTGAAAGTGCTGTATAAATAAACATGTATTGTATTGTATTTCCTCTGGAGGAATTGCAGCAAGGATTGTCTGGTGTTTTCTGATCTACTTCAGGAGCGTAAAACCTTCTTACGATGGGACAGGCATTCTTCGTCAAAGGCAATTGACACAAGACAGTCATACACATAAAAATGCAGCAGCAGAGTGTTCCGATTGTCCTCAGCACACGTGAAGGGTGAAAGAAGGCACAGATTGGAGATGATGTGGCAGCAAAGAGATGGGTCACCATCCTGTACTCAACCGGTTCCTTTTTGCAGTCTCCATCAGGCCACCCTGACCTGATCAAACATGGCCTCGATATATGTGACCAGTTGGGTTGTTAAAAAGCTGAGTTGGCTGACTGTTACATCCATAATCCATAGTAGATGTCACAATCCGTGCACTAAACAGGACATCGCGGTACATCAAACACACACTGTAGCCTGTTTCTGCTTATGCTAGCTTTCAGACAAGGCTGGTTCTATGTCAGAAATGAAATCAAGCATCAGCCAGAATGTGCTTCATTTTTAGAGGCTCGTTTATCAACGCTGTGATGGCATGAAAAGGAGGTTTGCATCTTCTTGAGTATTTTGGGTGAAAATGCGACTAATCTTTCTGACTCTGTTGCTAACACGGGTTAGCCATAACACTGTATTACCCACAACGCTTCATTTTTACACGGATGACCCGAATTACCACTACTGCGGATGTGCATCGCTGCCAAGGCTTACAGCCGGCGGGAAAAGTGGGAGACAAGGCAGGTTTCACACAAAACAGTCCGATAAATAAATATATAAATAAACGACTCATTTACTATTAAATTGTCAATGATTTTGTTCATCAATGTCATTGTGACTAGTCGACTAATTTTGGCAGCCCTAGTACTCAATCATGTAAGCTTTCACAGATAACTTTCAACTGCCTCACCCAAATATGATCCAATCTTGCTCGTAAAATCCAGTTTCCTGTCATGTCGGGTTGCAAACACTGATTTTCCATTTGGAAATCTACTTTGAGCAAACCAATCACAACCCAACCAAGGATGGTCTTGATGTCATCAGGGCCCACCGTCCACTTCACCAACAACCTCCCAGGTCTCCCATGTATGATGTTGGTGCCAATGAGCAGGTCCACATCTTCCTCAACCTCCAGTATCCGTACATGCTTCAGATGCGGCCAGCGTTCAAGGTCCATTGTCCGTGGAATTTTCTCCTGGTGAACAGGCATCTTCCTTTGTGTGAAAATCGCAGGCAAGTTTCAAAAGTTGTTGGATTCCATACCAACCACTTCCAAATCAGACATGAAGCAACTTTCTCGTGCCCCATCGTTCTGAGAAGGATCCCCATCTTTTTTTCCTGTCAGATTAAGTCCATTCATGAGTCATTTGTTGCAAAACGAGGAAGTGCTCCCTGGAACTACACACAAGTTACCAAAGTTTTGTGCCCCCTTTTGGGCTTCACGTGGATGGGTTGTAGTGACAATGGACATTGATGTATATCGGTTGCGGTCAAGCCACTGGACTGTATTGATGCCACAGCCCCTTCAGAAACGCCACTGGTCTGGGTTGAATTTATTTGCTTTGTTTGGGAGTGAAAATGCAACAATGTAGGGTACCTCAGTTTGCATACTCTGTCGGTCGAATGTCTTTTGCAATTTCTATTTCTGTGCCCAATGCACGAACATATCAAAGCACATCCTTTTTTTCTTCAACAAAAAGACACATTTTCATCTTCCGTCTTTTTATTCAACATAAGTCAAACATCCTAAGAATGTCTAGCTCCACAAAACACACACACCTTGACACATGAGCTGTTCTCCTTTTTGTTTACAGGTTCCTGCTTCTTTTCAAACCTTTCTTCTTGCGCTAAAGTTAGTTGCACCAAAAATGTTGACTTCACATTGACAAAAAAATGCAATGCTGTTAAGACTTTTTAGGATCCCACGGGAACCCTGGTGATCTTTGTCCATGATGACTGAGTGGTAACTGCATGCTTACAGCATCCACATTTAACTGCATATTCGTTTCATTAGATTTAGCAGAAACACGAGAGCCTTCTGAAACCATGAGCACATTCACTCTCACCATAGACGCTGCCAGTTCCATGTCCAAGCCCAATGGCTCAATTTTTCTCCTGAGTTGTTTCTCTTGCTTGAATTGCACGTTTAGGAAATAACAGTGAAGCTTTCCCGGCTGGTTGGTCTGTTGCTGTTAGCACTCTAAAATGACTCCACCAGCCTCTCTCCTTTCGGATGCGCCTGCTGACGTCATCACGAGAGGGCTCTCGAGTTGAGCACAAGAGGACACGCCACGGAGTTCCATCCTCACTCGCTTGCAGCAAATGCACAATTAATGCGTTTGTCGGCATGCTGCGCATTGCTAAGTGTTGTGTAAAAAGGCCTTAACGGTGTGTTGAACAGTTAAGTATTTGCTGACTTCCATGTTATTGTTTTATATATATGGTCATTGAGTGTTTTTCATACAATTTTTTACTGAAACATGGACTTCACTTTTACATTAGCATGTTATGCCTTGCGTACTAACTTGGGTCATGTTGCCGCCATAGGAGTGGAAATCTGACGCATATTGAAGACACACTGTACTTGACTTAAGAGATTCCAAAATATGTCAGCTCCCAAAACAAGTTATTAGATTCTTTGGTCAACAACTAGCAGGGGACGGGAACTGCATGGAGAAAATTAAATGGAACCACTGAGAATAGGATCCCCTTTCCAGTAATATTTGTTGAATTGATTGAAGTGGTGCGGTCCAAAGTATTTTGAAAGCTCCCCAAATTTCTGGTTGCACACCCAAGAAGATGCAGCATTAAAATGTTCCTTTTTAAGTCCAGGTCATTGATGTTATGGTTGGTTCATTAACTGCACTGACGTGACAAGAGGGTGTGAGCTTCAACTCTCCGGTCAGCAGGGTTTTGCATACAAAACGCTACCTCGTCAAAAACACGACAACAGCTTTCCAAGTCAGCTGCTGGCTTGCATCCTCTAAGCATTTTGAGCACGTCTCCTCCTGCCTTGGAGAGATGGCAGGAGGCCTACTGGTGACTGCCACACGACTCGATGGACGCTATAGTCCCTATCCTCCTCACGATTCAAAGGAAAACATCGGCGAAGCGAATTAGAGAAGCTGCTTAACAACCTGCTGAAGAGAATTCATTTTGCCCTGTTGACGGCTCTAGTCTGCTGATTAAATGTGCAAGCGCACGATTTATGATTGACAAATGAATATTCTCTCAAAAGGAAAATTACACAAGCAGGCAGAAGAGACGAATCGTCTGTCAAAGTGACATCGTAGTCATGAAAACGAAATGCACGCGTAAAAATAGGCAACAAATCTGCCAAAATACATGAATAATGCAGCTCATGGGCTCGGTGGGGTTGCACAGTCGTTACGCTGCTAGAAATTATGCCACTTGCCAGCATCAAGGTAGCAACGTCAACAGAGCTTCACAGGAAATGAAACACTTATTTTCAAAATAAGAGTAGACATTTATTTTGAGGCTCATTGAAACACTTCCTAGTGGTGTGGGGATAACACCTAATTTTGAAAGTATTTCCCAAACGTCTACGTTCCTTCTGTCGCTCGGAGCTGATTAGAATATCTCGCTATAGCGTGAATGTATCTAAAATCATGGTGTTGGATGTGCCATAAAGTATTTCCATGTCACGTCGACTCAATGCAGGACACACATTCATACAGAAATGCACGCCCATCGTTCAGAGCGTATTCAACATCTGACAGACCTGTTAAACAGCTAGCTGCTAATGTAGACCAATGACAGCAAACGGAACCGGCTAGCATGCTGGCTATCCACGGCTAGCTCCTCTGCAGTGGAAAGAGCTAATTTCGTGACACCGTCGAGCAGCGGCAAGCGACGGGTAGACGGCACATGCCCATGCAATTTAGGGGCATTAAATCACGTTTCCTCAAACGCTTTCTTACCTGTTAGAATTCCCACTCGGGTCTGATGGTCGTGATTGGTGAGCACCATCCCGTCCGTCGCCATGTTTACAACCGCTGTCTGCACTGTGACAGCACATAAGAGAAACAGTGCTGGGGAGCGTGAGCTGCCGTTGCACCTCTGGAGGACGACTGCCTGCGCGAGCTGGCGCGTGTACGCTCGCGCCTATACACTTCTGTTTGAAATCGACCTTGGTGCATTTTTAGGTTAAAAAAATAAGTCTTAAGTATCATTTGAAAAACTACAGATTGTGTAGTTTACCAACTTAAGGTCTGCTATAAATAAAAGCACAAAATTTTCCCGACATAAAAACACACTCTTCACAAAGGAACACATTTTTATATATTAGTTGCATGCATTATGTACAAGAATAAAACCCCATTTAAATTCCAGAACCAAATGTTTGGTCCCAACAACTACTAGTTACCAACAAGCGCTTAATCATGCAGATGCTGTACAACAGAATTTCAGAACAAATACTGGATGCGCATTTCCTTATTATCAAGCACATGGGTGTAATTGAAATATAAATCTCCATTGTGCTGTATAAGTAGTGCCAATAATGCCAATATGTTTTCATGGAGACATCTATAACCCAACTTGAAGAGGATACCCGAGAGAGGTCTCAAAAGCAGACAGCAAGATGGGGGCGTAACCTGATTTGGGGAGTGACGTTTTGAGGGGGCGTACCGTTAGTTCATTTCGATGTCCAATGAGGGTGAGTAATGTGTGTACCAAAAAATGACGCAATCGACGGCCATCTTGCGTTGCCATTCTCTTGGTGTGCCAAACTTGAATAGAGTACATAGATTTCTCCGCTGCGTTTTCACATTATTTTGTGTTTTAATGGCGAATGTGTGGCTTACAGTTGGACCAATAAGTCTGGGAGAAACACTTTTCATATAGCTTTCATCAGTAAGAATGTGATTATAAATGTTCTCTTATAAAGTATATCTTCACCGTGCTTCATATCATCTGCATCATGGTTTCAGAACCATCACTAATGAAATGAAAGCAAAATCCATCTGGAAAAAAAATTCTCTGCGGATTTAAACCTAACTTCTGTAAGTCACTATTCATGATACTGAGATAATATATCCAGAATGATCGATGCAAACAGTGAAGTTCGTTCTTTGAGAGGTTCTTATACATCAATCCGTGTAGTGCAGTCAGTCAAATCTCGTGAAATGGGAGGTACCCACCTCAGATGTCAAGGTCATGTGATCCACAAGGTCAATTTCAAGGTCAAACCAAAGTTAAAAAGGTCAAGATACTAAAATTAGTCTTCTACCCACCCCAGATGTCAAGGTCATCTGATCCACAAGGTCAAATTATAGTTAAAAAGGTCAAGATACTAAAATTAATCTTCTAAATCAGGGGTGCCCAAACTTTTTGGACCGAAGATCTACTTTTCGATCAACCAACCTCCCGCAATCAACCCGTTACCACGCATGCACGCACGCAAGTGCACACGCATGCCATGATGCGCAATAGCCTGACGCTGAGGCATGCGACGCACTAAGGCAGCCTGTTAACGATCGTAGCTCACGTGTACCGTTTTAAAATGCTTCTTTCTGCCCTCCAGATTCCCATTCTTTGCCCGTCCCCTTGGTGAATTGTACAAAACAAACTCTGAATGAGAATAATAACGATAAAAGATGTTGCGCAACAACTCTGATCACAAGCTGCAACTGCAGACTGCTGAGTGCTAACAACTTCCGGTGACGCACTCACACGTCACCGTAGGTTAAAGATGACCTGCTTTATTTTATTTTCTTTTTTAAATACTTTTTGTGAAAGTGAGACTGATTGAATGATTAAGGTGCAGTGTGCATTAACACAAAAAACATATTACTAACATCCACAGAGACACAAATGTTTGTTTGTTTTTTTTTCCTCTACACACCTCGGATCAACTTGGGACCAGTCTGTGATCTACCGGTAATGGGCACCCCTGTTCTAAATGATTGCAGATTGAGAGTTCTTCTTGAATTCCATTTCCAACAATACCTGATTTGTGAGCCAGTAGTTCCTGAGATGTAAGGGTTCAAAGGAAGGTGCCACCCCCCGGCCCTCCGTTTGCATCCATCCATCCATTTTCTGATCCGCTTATCCTCGCAAGGGTCGCGGCGTGTACTGGAAACTATCCAAGCTTTCTTCAGGCAGTAGGCAAGGGACACCCTGAACCGGTTGCCAGCCAATCGCATGGCACACATAGACGAAAAACCATCCGCGCTCACACTCACACCTCGGGTCAATTTAGAGTGTTCCACTAACCTGCCACGCATGTTTTTGGAATGTGGCAGGAAACCGCAGCATACGGAGAAAACTCACGCAAGCAAGGGGAGAACATGCAAACTCTACACAGGAAAGCCGTAGCCAGAATTGAACACTGCACCTCTGCACTGTAAGGCCGATGCCCTAACCAGTTGACCCCGCCCCCCCCCGAAGAAAATGTCAAAATTTGGTGGGCCGTAGCTCCCAAAGTCCTGCTCTGATTAACCTCAAATTTGAGATTTTGTGTTGTGCCATCACTATCAAAAAGCATCCATCCATCCATCCATCCATTTGAACATCCATACTCCACACAGGGAGGTCGAACCCGGCACCTCTGCACTGTGAGGTTGGGTGCTAACCTCTCGACCACCGGGCCGCCCTATCAAAAAGCATACTAAGTTAAATTAAAATCAAAATCTGCTTGGTTAAAATTTTTCAGATATTTTTAAGTGGCTTGAAATTACCCTCTCTTAATTCAAATGTCATATAATAATTTCAGGAAAACTCAGTTAAATTGAAATCATATGGCACAGCATAACTGCCACAACTGTAAGAACATGTACTAAGTGAAAAGCTGGTAAACTTGCTGGGCCATAAGTCCCGTTGCAACTCCTCCGGTGCCCATGTCGGGCAATGAGCGGCAGGGGCGTCCACCTCCCTGACTCGAGGAGGGGTTAGCTACAGGATCATCAGCCAGGGATCACCATTCATTGATGTTTCGCCCCTTGTCTCGTAACATCTCCTACAGACGGGTCAGTGAACAGCGCCGTCCCCCTGCTATCTCCCATAGCTCCACTTTAGATTTTATTGGCTTTCCAAGTCTTATCAAGTATCTTTTACCAGAGCTGGAAGCTTGCCTTCTTTGCTTCCTCTGCTATATCCCTCATTGCCCTGTGAAATCTGGCTCTCTGCACACAGAGATCTTTTAGGAGGTGCAATGTTGACACTCCCTCAATGCCTCTTTCACCCACTTCAGCATGGTAGAGCTTTTGCAGTCCATCCACTTTCACTGCACTCTGCCACCAGGCCAGCGTGCTTTGCACGCTTCCTGTCGTGAGCAGCCTCCAGGCCCTCTTCCCAGGCCACCGTCAGTTCAATGAGCAGGACAGTTTTTCTGGCTGGAGAACACAACCTGATGTCTGGTCACAAAGTGGTGTTGCTGATCTTCCTTGGGAATTGGAGCATGAATGATCAAATGTAGCTGTTGTGGTTTTAAATCAGGTGATCTTTTGACCATTTCAGTCCCATAATCCCATAGAATCTGATGCAAAAATTGAACATTCTGGAACGGAAAATGTTGTTTATGTTGTATTGTTTGTCCAACCATGCTTGAACTTTGACGTGGAGCTATGGGGGAATTTATACAAAAGCAGAAGAAAAAGCTATGACAATTGTACACAAGTCCGGATTTCGCAATCAAGATAGATTGAAGGAGAGAAGAGATGTTGTTCAATTTTTTTTTAAATGTATATTTTTATTTTATTTTTTATTTTTTGCAAATTACCAAAGAGAGGAAAGGAAAGATGACTGTTTTCAATCTTCTGGATGCCAAGCAGGTTTTTTTTTTCCGTTTTTGCTTGTACAACATTGCTTTGGCTGATATTTATTAGGATATGCCTTCTCACTGTTAAAAATGAAGCAGTATTGGAAAGGTGGATATGATTATAAAATTAAAATATTTATCAGTTCATCAAAAACACCTAAATAAAGCACCAGTGCAGTTCAATAATTTTGCATGCTTCCATTGTCAAAATTTGAATACAGAAAATGAACCTAGTGGCTCAAAAGGATTAAATTTTTTGTAAGAGGACTGCATATTGCTCTGTTTTCTTTTAGAATAGAAATAATGTGGGTGTTGTGGAAATTGTAGAACTCGAAGAAAGCGACAATTTCTCACGTGCGCACTCCGAGAGAGAGTGTGTCGTGTTTTTTTTATTTGCACCACAAAAAAAACACTCGCGCCAAACGAAGCCCGCCGAAAGTAAGTTTCCATAGAAACAAGCAGACTAAAATGGCGGTCCTTAAAGGGACTGCAATTATTTCTACCCCGTTACCAAATAATCGTGAACTCTCTGACAAGCATATGAACATTGCATTCACACATTTGCAGTTGGTGGTGAATTATGTACATAGAAGTCACTACAGTGTTATGGATCTGGGACAGGTATGATCTGACCAAAGTGCCAGACAAATACACTGAAATTTGGGTTTGTGTACAACGTGTGCTTATTTTCAATTTCTTTCTTTTTTTTTTCTTTTCCTTTTTTTTCTGGGGAGGGAGACGACAACCTCACGAAGAGTCTTTAATTAGCATCATTCCATCGAACCATTGCAAGCATTGCATCGGTGACACAATAAAGCTTTGGAACCAAAGGGGTTCTTTATTTGCCAAGGACGCAATAAAAAGGTGGGCGGCAACCCCACTTGCAACTCTCTTTTCAAATAGACAACAGTTTTTAACTTGTGTCGGCGATACTGCGCAAGCGCAAGTTTGTTTGTTTACTGTATCATAGCAACCGGAGGAGCTAATCGAAAATGGTGGTAAGTTGTTTGTCGCCGATTTTTTATTATTCTATTTGGCATTTACACTATTACCGTTTCTGTCTGTAACTGTTTGGTAGGAAGTCCTATAACAATATTAACATTAGGCCAAACGCCGTATAAAATGATAACAGCGTCACTGCGTGTTCGGATAAATCAAGAGAGTGTTTGTGTTCATTCGAAACAGAAAATCAACCAAATACTAAGAATGACAGTTTTCGTTCATTTATTTGGTTTTTGGTCTTGTTTCTAGGGGAAAGCAACAACAATAAAAGAAGCCCTGACCAAATGGGTAAGTGGCATAAAGACACGATTTTTGAAATTCAGTTACTCTATAAACTTTAAC